CTTATTACCTATTCCCTTTCGCTCCCTAGGTAATATCGTATATATCTAAGAATTACTACTTAGTATTAAGACCCCCTATTTATAATACCCTTATAAGGGTATCGTAGATAGAGTTCTAATAGTAGTCCGTAGAAAGCGTTAGCTTAAGGCTAGAACGTACTCGGTAGGAGCTTTTTAGCCTAAGAAGGTAATCCCTAAAAGTGTCTAAAAGTATCGGCTCTACTATCCTAGATTAGCGGTCTCTAGTCCTTTAGTACTAACGGTTCCCGTACGGAACCTACTTAAGTTAGCGCTAATACCGATTCTATAAGGTTTCGTATTATTATACTTATAGGGATATCGTCGTTAGCTAAGCGTTCGGATCCTACGCGTTCTAGTACGGCGCGCGTAGCGCTTATCTCGGCTTTTATAGCCTATTACTTAAGATATATCTATTTTATAGCTCTACGTAGCTTTATAGTAGGTTCTACGAGTACTTCCGTTCTAAACTCTTATTATCCGGGAAGTTCCTTCTAGTATCCTAATCCGAAGGGGTAGTTATCGTAAGGCGATCGAACTTAATATTATAGGCGAGTAGCGTATATATAGGAGCTTAGGTAAGGTTTTAATTAAATAAGTTTAATAGAAAAGAGAACTATCCTCCGCGGATTCCGACGTAAAGTACGCGGATACTAAGCGTTCTATATAGGCTACGCCTATACTTTAGCCTTAGGGCTTCGCCTATTATACTCCCTATCTTATCCCTATAGGCGTAATTAATATAGATATAATATTCGAGGAAACTAAAAACCTTATAGGATTTTTATATTAATTTACTCGCGTACGAGCCTATAATAGGGCTATAGATAGTATATTTATAAAGTACGATACGGCGCTATCGTAGTAATCCTTAAGGAAGAGTCGAATTATAACGCTCTTAGCGAGAATTATAACGCTCTCCGCCTTCTTCTTACGAGCGTAATTAATATAGATATAGTATTCGAGGAAACTAAAAACCTTATAGGATTTTTATATTAATTTACTCGCGTACGAGCCTATAATAGAGCTATAGATAGTATGTTTATAAGGTACGATACGGCGCTATCGCGGTAATCCTTAGGGAAGAGTCGAATTATAACGCTTTTAGTAAGAATTATAACGCTCTCCGCCTTCTTCCTACGAGCGTAATTAATATAGATATAGTATTCGAGGGAACTAAAAATCTTATAGGATTTTTATATTAATTTACTCGCGTACGAGCCTATAATAAGGCTATAGGGTAGTATCTATATTTAGGAGGTACGATACGGCGCTATAACGGTAATCCTTAAGGAAGAGTCGAATTATAACGCTCTTAGCGGGAATTATAACGCTCTTAGTAAACGCGACGCTAGCTTTACGAAGACGACGACTTTAAAATTAAACTACTTACGTAATATACGAGCTCTATACTCGGTAAGATATAGAATCGAGAGGGAATTAGTTAGCCGAGAGGGTAGAGCGAGAAAATCTATATAATTCTAATATATAAGGCCTAACCCGAGACCCGAAGATATACTCTAGAAGTCGTATTCGGCCGAGATAGCTCTACGGCCGTTATTCTAGGGTACTAGGCTAGCGGAACGTCGGTAAGTCGTGTTCGGCCGAGATAGCTCTACGGCCGTTATTCTAGGGTACTAGGCTAGCGGAACGTCGGTAAGTCGTATTCGGCCGAGGTAGCTCTACGGCCGTTGTTCTAGGGCACTAGGCTAGCGGAGACGTCGGTAAGTCGGCTTCGGCCGAGCCTACTTAGAGGAGGCCAACTAGAGAGTGCTCGGTGCTTCTAAGATCGAAGTTTATAAGCAATACGAGGGTTGTACCTAGAACCACAGCTAAGGTGCTCTTCTAGGGTAGGTGGTAAACTCGACGAGATTGCTGTAGAGTCTGGCGACCAAGATGGTGTAATTGGAGGGCTCGTAGATGTTGGTGTATTCTTCTCTACCCTCGCGACTGTCGTGGACAGAGACCCTCGTGGTAAGTCACTAGCTCCGAGCTGCCAAATCCCTTGAATTGGACGGACAACTTACAAGGATGCGAAGAGTGGAATAGTTGCTTGTTGCGGGGGTCGAGTTCCCTGTGCCGAAAGCGATGCCGTTTCATTTTGTGCGGCGGGTGGATACAGGTGCATACAGCGGCACGTTGCTGATAGTAGTGCTGTCCCGTAGAGCTGTCGATGTGAGCATTCTTCACCAAGAAAGGACACCCTCAGTCGTCGCTATCACCCGCGTGTCGACCTCGCGATTGCATCTTTGCGCTTGGTGTCCTGATCCTTCGCCCGTCGCTTGATGGTATCAACCTCGCTGCGCTTGGTGTCCTTATCCTTCACTTGATGGCCTGCATCTTTGCGCTTGGTGTCCTGATCCTTCGCTTGCCGCTTGGTGGCCTGCATCTTTGCGCTTATTGTCACAAAAGTGACGCCGATTCGCGGTAGAGATGCTCCAACGCGCGCTTTGTAGAATCGTGGGTGCCATGGCCTTCTTCAAGCGCCCGAACGAGTCAGACGATTGATGAGAGCAGTGGCTGTCGCGATGACGAGCCATGCTCAAGGACAGATAATCTGCCCTCTCCTTCTCTCTTTGTGCCATGTGCCATGCCTTTGTCCAGTTTTGAACGAGCATTCGACACATGGTGCCGCGGTGATCATGCTGCCGCGATGGCGAACACTCCGGGACCTATTTCTCTCTGCCGCTGTGGTCGTGCTGCCGCAATGGCGAACACYCCGGGACTTTTTTTCTCTGCTGCCGTCATCGTGCTGCCGCGATGGCGAACACTCGGGGACCTATTTTTCTCTGGCGCCGTCATCGTGCTGCCGCGATGGCGAACACTCTGGGACCTATTTCTCTCTGTGATTTTGCGGCCATTCAATGACGCGCTCACTTCATCGTAGCATCCTCCCTCATAACAGTCGGCCCCAAACGAATTGGTGGCGCGACTGGGATTCGGTAGAACTGCAATGCGCGATGCAGGTACCCGTCCGTTGGGGTGAGAACTTCACCCAAAACTTGGGCGTTCATTGCCCGCGTGAATCTGTTGCACGTCCTGAACGGATCAGATGGATTCCTCGAAAGAGGAAAGATCTCCCGCCACGTGCGATTCCCAAAGAGAACCAGGGTTGGTCCTCGGACAGAAGGAGGAGGAGGAGGAGGAGGATCAGCAGCCGTGGCTGCCGGCTGTGCAGACGGTCCTGCGATGGGAGCTGCCGCCGGAGCAGCAGCCAACACAGGAGCCGGCGCAGGAGCCTGGGCAGCACCAGGAGCTGGTACTGTCTGGGCAGCGGGAGCCGAACCAGCAGCCCCGTTTGCGCCAGTTGCAGCGCCTGCTCCCAACCGCATTCTCTCCATCTCCCGCTTCATTTTGTCCAGCTTCTTGGCCATGACCAAGGCGGCCTTGCGAACCGCTAGCCGGCTCTCTGCTCTCTCGGCCCGTCGCTGACGGTCCATCAGCACATCGAACGACCGCTCTTCAACGGCACGTCGCATCTCGGCTGCTCCTACCCTCACCATAAAGGTGAATGACACTCGGGCAGGGCATCTGATGATGCTCTTGGCCACACCACACGCACACATTTGTGCAGGCGTGGTAATCGTGGCCCAGTCTCGCGCAAGTCGTGCAATATTGTTGATTGTCGGTGGAGTCCATTGTGATGGCTCGTTGCTTCTTGYGTTGTCTGTCGTTCGGTGTTGTTTTCGAGAAGTGAAGAAGAAGGAACCGAAGCAACAAACAGGAAATATTCAAGATGCTTGGCATAACAACAAGTTGTGGGATTTGACGTAGAAAACATCACGAATCACATCTGATCGCAAAACGGACCATAGTACGAGGATGAACAGATTCAGCAGATTTATTCGAGCAAAAAGCATCCTGCGACACATTTCTGCCCCCGCTGTCTTGCTTAGGCACAGTGACTGACCTCATCAAGCCTGGATTGTTTAACAAAGTCTTCCGCGTAGTCCGAGCATACCCTGGCTCAATGCCAGCATCACTGCGTTCTTCGTTGCAACAGGCAACATCTTCATCGAGCCGATCTACAGTGAGTGGCAACGTAGTCTCAGCCACGCCAAGGGSACGGCCGCGTGTAGGACATGGACATTGGGCGACTTGGAGATCCTCCATGTAAAAGGACGTGCATCATGATTCTCATGAAACACTACGCATCTACGTCATCCTCAAAGAGTCGTACCTTCTCGATGACATTCGGAAGTTCGTTGCTGAGAACGCTTCGGCAGATATTGAACTATTCAAGTGGATGGTCGACGATTTTGTGAGCAACAGGGAGAATAAGGGGGGCAAGATTACACTTCCACTACTCCTCCGAAATGGGTTGGCGTTGATGTTATCAAGACCCGTGGGGGACTCGGGGCGATATCTTCTGACATATCATTCACGTACAGCTGTGAATTTCGCGTATTCGGAAGCAGCTCCCCACAAAGAATTCTGACTTCGCTCAGACGATGTCAGCCAGATTCAAAGACACCAACTCTTGGCGCACATGATAATTCAGGGGTTCTCTGCGTATCAATGTGCCGAGGGCTATAGCGACTGCTACAAATTTTCGCTGACAGATTTGCCACGGTAGGAAGAGAATTTGTAAGGGACCTCAAAAAGATGCCCTCGCTGTGATCGCTAGAATTTCCATTATCGCAAACGATATTCGCTGCTTCCCCAGCACGAATTAGACGACCTTATGGATTCAGAGTGTCCTGGCCGTGCATCCTCTCTGACAAATAAAATGCCTACTGCTCAGACACGTTCAAACGAGCTGGGCAGGGCTGTCGATTTGAGGATTGTTCGTCGGAACAAGACCTTCTCGGCATCCTTACTAATGTTATAAGGCCTCGCTCTCTGCAGTCTCGACGAATCTAGGCCTGCTAGAATCCTTAATACTAGCAGAGTAGCCCGTTAATCGACCGAGAGAGCAGAACGGGGCACTACTCTTATTAATGATTTCTCATATCGACAGCTCTGGAGCTGGGAATCTCGACTCTCTAGAGCTGCACATAGATTATGAGGGCAGTCTCATCGTCAAAGCAATTTCGGCGTGTAGGCCCTCGGATCTAGATACAGTTTGATGTCCCCTTTGCGCCAAAAGCGAAGCTCGTGGAGCGAGTGATGCATCGTGTCTACGTAGTCGTCGTGTAGCGTGGATGACCTGAGTTGTAGATTCAGGACGGGGCCGTCGACATAATACCTAGCCGATGAGGAAATGATGAAGATCGGATCTCGTCGTGAAGACGAAATACTGAATGAAGTATGTCTTGGTCAACAAACCCCTTTTTAGTCTCCGATCATGTCTTTCCCATTTTCGCCGCAGTCCTCGCAGCAATCTCCTCATACCCCTCCATCCCCTTCTTTAGCACGCTCAAATTTCCCTTGCTCAATCTATACACGAGTCTCATCCTCTTCGCCCCTTCATCACCATCATCGTCCTCATCGCTCCCGCCATCCTCCTCACTTTCCTCATCTTCGGGCCTCGAAGCTGCAGCCAGCGCTCTCATGGACTCTCCCTCGACCACGCAACGCATGAAGAACCGGTCGTGGGTGACCACCAAGATGGCACCTTTATAGCTTTTCAATCCGGTGACCAGTGCTTGGATAGTATCCGTGTCCAGATGTGTGGTGACCTCATCAAGAATGAGGAGATGCGGTGGATGTGACAAAATCTTCGCCAGAGCCAGTCGCACTCGCTGGCCTCCGGAAAGAAGAGCGATCGGGACATCAGAAGCAATCTTGCCGGCCAACCCAACTCCTGCGAGCAGGCCACGAGCTTCTTGTTCGGGAATTTCCAGCCCAACAAATTCCATCAAATGGCTCAAAGCCGTGAGTTCTGGCCTCTTCGTAGCTAGAGTCTCGAGCTCCTCCGCAGCCTGTTGTGAATATAATGCAAACTTGGCTCTGGTATGCCTCGTCACAGCTCCGCTTGTTGGCATCATCGGCTTCCCCGATCCAGTGACAACACCCATCGCCAGACTCACCAACGTCGATTTCCCCGACCCATTCAACCCGGCGATACCGATTCGATCGCCGAGCTGGATCGTCAGGTCGATGTCGTTCAGAATCTGCTTCTTGTTCTTTCCAACCCCATACGAGAAGCCAACTTTCTCGAAGCTGACAAGACTACCGGGAAACCTCAAATCTGAAGGCTCGGCAGGAATGGTCATGGTCGCGGGAGGATCGAACGTCGGGACCTCAATTTCGTTCCTCAGTCCATCAGCATAGTATCCCGCTCGATCACGATTCAACTTGAATCTGGTTCCTTTTGCAGAGACCTGTAATCCCATCCGTTCGTCAAGTTTTTTCTTTCTCGACGCAGCTTGCTTAAGCTTCTTGTCATCCCCAGCACGTTTCGCAGCTGCGACATTGCCGTCAATAGTGGATTGGATATGCTTCTTTTGCTTGTCTTGAGCATCCTTGAGACGAGTCATGTGTTTGTATGTCTTCAACCGGTCCATTTCATACGAGGAGAGATTTCCGCGAAAGCGTTCGAGAGTTTGGTTGCGGAGGACTAGAAGCTCTTCTGCTACGGAGTCACCAAAGGAGCGGTCGTGAGTGACGACTATTACGGTAGTGTCGGTCAGATCTTGGACGTAGCGTTCGAGCCATATGATGGAGGGCAGATCCAAGAAGTTTGTTGGCTCGTCCAGGAGCAAGAGATCTGTGTGCATCAGTATACTCCTCCGCGGTATAATGTTGGAAACATACCGGGAGATTGGCAGAGGGCACATGCTAGACTGCATCTTGTTCGCCACCCTCCTGAAAGTTGAGATCGCGGCTGATTGATAGCCTCCTCTGAGAATCCCAAGCCGATGAGAACAGACCGAGCCTTTGCTTCAGCTGCAGAAGCATCCATCAATTCCAAACTGGTCTGAATTTCAACCATCAGTTCCGCAGCCTTCTGTGTCTCCTCTCCCATCTCCTCAGCTCCCACCTCTCCCTCAAGTCTCTCTTTCGAGACTTCAAATTCCTTCTCCGTCTTCAACAGCACCTTCTTCGCATCCGCTCCCCTCCCACCACTCCTCCTGATAGCAATCTGCTTAATCTTCTCCAGCTTCCTTCCCAACCTCTCATGGGAGACCTGCCTGTACGCCCAAACTCCCGCAGTCGGATCCGCAGAGTTTTCAATCGCATTCCCCAGAGCCTCGGCCTCGCGTAGAAGGATCTCCCGCTGTTCATCGCTCCTCACGACAAAGTCCAATACATTCATTTCATTCATATCCAAATTCTCAACATCATCCTCCAGCCCCGAAATCGTCTGTCCTAAAAGAAGGACTTTGATACCCCGCGGAATGCTAGGAATTTGGTCCGTTGCAATGGCTCTCAGCAAAGTCGACTTGCCAATCCCATTCCTGCCATGAAGGACATAATGTCTTCCTCGCTGGAGTTGAAAGTTCGCATGGGAGAGGAGTTCCCGATTTCCGATGGAGATGCTCAAGTCCTTGACGACAATTTCTTTGAGGTTGTTGTCCTCATCAATGTCTGTATGGAATCGACTTTCTTGCGCTGTAATGGTGAGGGCGCCCGCTGATTTGGCGTCTTTCGTTCTTCGCGGTGGCATTCTGCAATGAGTGTGACGAAGTGCCTCTGTTTGGTGATGATTCTGGAAGAGAAATGAGAGACGAAAAGGAAAGAGCCTTACTTTGATTGTAAGCAGCAGCAGTGACAGCCCTTCTTAAATCTCAAGCTGAATACTCATGCAAACACCAGAATCAAAGATCGTCGGTACAACCTCCCCACAAGTCATTTCTTTTCATGAGTCAAACGAAGCCAAGTCGTGTCGCGAACTGCGGTGTCTCGAAGAAGTCTAAGCCCTGCATGAGCCAAGAATCGGGCCTGAAACCTTGTGCCGTCTTATGCGGCTTTGGGCCAGAGCTGTCCACAGTCGATATAAGAGATTATCAACAAGAGCAGCGTCCTGAACTACTCCCTCGATYGATTAACGGGCTACTCTGCTAGTAGTTAGGATTCTAGCAGGCCTAGATTCGTCGAGCCTGCAGAGAGCGAGGCCTAAGGACATTATGGGAATGGATGAGGATGTCTTGTCGCGATTATTAATCCTCATATCGACAGCTCTGCTTTGGGCACATGTGCTGCTGAAAGATCAAGAGGGGAATGAAGGAATATACAATTCATCCTCGAGGCCTCTTCAGCCTTCTCTTACGTTCTAATTTATACATTGAAACAGAAGCTTTTCGTTCACTCGTTATTGCAACGCCGCCCGGGTAAAATACTTTGGCCAGAACTCGCTTTTCCCCATTCTCTAGTCTCTTCGCACTGCTTTCTTGCCGATTCGCCGTTCCGTACTTCCATTCATCAATACATTTCACAGTCGCATCCTTTTTTTTACAAGCCGGTGAACGGCCTCACACCCCTCTCCTCATCCTCATCCTGTCCTTGCTCGACAATACTAGCTCGGTACGGATTCCCAGCCAACCGACTGACAGGGACTGGGAAAGCGCCACCGCCCTGCATAGTCGGCGTCGGCATCTGCGTAGTTGGATGGTATTCCGAGGCCACGCTAGCACTGGAAGTCCCCACAGCGCTGACCGAAGGCTGATATCCCGAGTTCACGCCAGCACTAGGAGTTCTCACAGGGCTACCCGTAGGCTGATACGACCTTCCTTCATCACCAAAAGTCTGCGAGCTTGCCTGAGGATAGGATTGTGTGTATCCGTATTCCATGTAGTCCAGCTCGCCGGGTTCGTTTATTGTAGGAACGCCAGGTGGTTGCGCAGTGGTTGCGCTTCGAAATCTCTCCAACTCGACACTGTTCCCCGGTCTGCGCTTGCCCCTCGTGCTGGCTCTCCGAAGCATGTCCCGCACATCGCTGATATCTTGATTATCAATACTCGGTCTGGGAAGACCTCCGAGCGTGCTACTGTCGTCGTCGTGAACCGCAGCATTCGCACCGGGATCACGAGCATTGAGATCATTGATGATCTTAGCATCTTGAGCGCTCAAGCCCGCCATGCCGCTAGCACTGTTGTTGGACATTGAAGGCTTGAGGTCGTCTGGCGCATCGCTGGGCTTTCGAGGTGGAAAGAGTCGAGCACTCTCCCTCTCCAAAGCAGCAGCCTGAGCAGCTTCTCTCGCCTCGGAGTCGGTGATTGTGACGCCGTAGTTGGGGTTTGCTGCAGTTCCAGCAGCGTCTACACCACCGCCAGGCGGATATATCGGTACTGCACGCAGAGCCGAGACCAGTGCGCACATGAATTTGCTGCGACGGGCGGCGCGGAGAGTCTCGTTTGACCAGTTGGACTTGTGCTTGATCTCGACCTTGAGTTGGAGCTTAGACATGTCCGACGTGCCCAAGACTTCCACTTCAGGATCGGGCAGGAAATCGCGATTGTTGTCCTTGTCCGAGACGAAGTTGTGGATCTGAGACTTCAAGATTTGGATGTCCTCGAAGGAAGTCTCAAAGGCGACATCTAGGACAATTTGTTCGGTCATGGATTTGCTGCGACTAACATTATCAAGTGCCAGCGAATTGAGCACGACGTTTGGGTATTGCGAGAGTTGTCCAGTTTTGGGTCCAGATGCGCGGCGAAAGACGGTGAAGAGGAGGGAAATGTGCTCCACGGTGAAGAAGTTGTCACCTATGTCTACACGATCGCCAATGTCGAAGGGGTGCTTGACGAACAAGAAGATGCAGGATCCGAGAAACTCCTGTGCGGTGGTGGAGAAGACAAAGGACAGCGAAAGAAGAGCGGTTCCAKCAGTGGCCAGCGTGGTAACGAAATTGGCGTTGAGGAAAGCGATGAAGATGAAGACCACAGCCACCATCACGATTGTGCAGAGAAGGCGGTCGAGGACGTTAATAGCTTGAGCAACATCCACCATGCTATTTGCAATGGCCTTGCGCTCACGACTCCATTCGGTGACGGTCATGATCATTTCTTCGAGGGAGACGTCTCCGTTGCCATCTCGATCAAGCGCCCAATATGCCTCCTCGGCTTCGACTTGTCGCTGCGGACCCATGACGTCCAGGATATCCTCTTCAAGGAGAGACTCTCGGCCCTCAACAACGAATGACATCCAGATACGGCGAGCAAGAGCTTCGGAAGTGCGCTTCTTCTCCAGTGCCGTGACGACGATAGAGTGCGCGGCGTTGGGGTTGAACACTTCGCGCCCGGTGATTTCGTGTGCGATGTTGCCGAAAGCAGACGTCACCTTATCACCCACGCGGTTGACGTTTTGGATCAGCCGCATGGGCGTGCTGGAGCCGGTCTTTTTGTGACCCTGCTTTCTCTTCCCGCCCAATGTCGCCAGTTGGAGCTGATTAGCAATGATGTAGTCTTCTTCTGCGAATTCCGGGCAATAGGCTGGGAAGAGAGCGCGAGAGGCGTCGTAGAGCAATCCAAGAATGTAGACCTGTCGCTTGGAGTCCTTTATTCTCGCATTGAATTGCTTTCGGTGGTAGTTGATTTGGATGAGGTTGACAATGGCCTTCTCCGCGAGGAAGACCAATGCGCAAACGACTGCGGCTCCTAGGATTTTCTGCACAATGTTGACCCAATCCGGCGCAGGTCCAGGGCGAGATCGATTGTATGGGTTCCTCGTCATTAATGGCTTGAAAGTTGCCAGAGATGTGACCGCCCAACCGACCAGGGAGAGAGGGATCTCTAGCTTGCGGATGACGGTGGAGTACTTTCGAACGCCTGAACTGACGACACCAACAACCAGCTGGAAGAGAAATGGCAAAAAGTGGCTGATGAGTTTGGAAATCCACAAGCTTAGCCAGATGATTTCCACCCAAGAGAAGAGCCAGACGATGGGGACCCCGCCAATCTTGGGAGGGTTCTTCGACCCGCCGACTGTCGCTCCCACGATAATGGGGACGGCGATGAGCGCTCCCAGCGGCAACACATATAGAAAGTATCGCGTGACAATGGAGAATCCAAAGATTTTGTTGTAAACCTTGCCCATGGTCGTCAAGGTATCCTCTTCCCCATCATATCCCACCCGACCAATGCCCTTGTCAGCCTGAGCATTGGGCTTTGCTCTTCGTCCTCGGAAGAAGGCACTTTTTTCGTTCTCATCCGGTCCGCTGCTTGATGGGTGGAAGTCGGGCGTCTTGTCGGTGGTCCTCAGCCCGCCATTCCCACCACTGCTGGCGTTGGTCCGGACTTGCTGGAGGGGAATATCGTGCATCGGAATGTCAATGGCCGCGTCGTGAGGATGGGGATCATAATGAGTGGCCATTTCCGCGTCGTCGGGTCGTATGGGAGAGAAGCCTTCTCGAGAAAATCGATTGCGCTGATTTGCCTGTGCCTGCAAATGGCTCGACATGTTTGTTGATGGCAGCACCAAAATGTGGCGTGATTTGGTGGTTTCAAAAGATGTGGTGGAACGCGGTACCCGTCAAGTATGGTGGAAATGCAGTCGAGGAGAGCGAATGTGATGCTGCAATCAAAAACAACGAAGGATATCAAACGCCAGCACAATGGGAGGAGAAATGGACAAATGAATGAGCGTCCCTCATCCGTACCTAGGAAGAGACTTTCCAATGGATTGACGACAAACTTCCGTCGTCGTATGCAGGGATGGCGGCCGGATTACGTAGGACCCCCGGTTCAACCTGTCAAACGCGACTAGCCTAGACCTAGCCAGGGGAACTCGAAGCTTCCAAGCTTCACAGGCCTTCTATAGGCGAGCAGCGCCGATGCTTGAAACACAACATCGCCCACCCACCCCGTCACCCCTGGAACACGAGGCGGTCACAGCTGTCCACGCGAGCAACACCTCAAACACAACATATCGTCGATCGTCAGCTGCAAGCATGAAGTACAGTACAGCACGATTCAACGTTGCTTGATATGTACCATTCAATGCACATTCCGTCCCGGCTTCTATTAATACATGGTCGATCCCATCGCTAAGCTTCTTTCGGCATCTCGATCCCATGGGCGCGTTGAAAATCTTCTCGACGGGCGATCCTCCGCGCGTGTCGTCTCCACATCCCACAGTTTTGGTTGTGGATTTTGGTTGGGCAGCTCGGAGTCGACAGGTCCTGCTGGCGGTCCCAACTTGTCGGCGYTCCGATTCCGATAGATTGTACGAGCCGAAAGGAGAAGGAAGCATATGGATATCTTGGGGATGCTCATGTAGAGAGTATTGGGATTTCAGAGTCGTAGAGCGTGGTCAACCGCATGTCCGCTTCGCTTCCTTTTCCACCGTCTCACGTCCGGCAATTGGGAAAGGAATCTACTGTGCCGAGTGCAAGAAGGTAAGGGAAGGCAAGTCGACATGAGCGGCCGTGTGCAACTTCGGTGGTGCAATTTGGCCGCACGTTTGCGAGAGCCACATCGATGCATGTGGCCATCTTCACTCCACACCACAGGCCAACGTTGCTACAGTTGTTCACCAGCTGCATTTGTGTGGGAGACACGCAAGAAGATTTTCGAGCGCTCATCATTTCATGTACAAGTGTCGGGAAAAGGGATGCGGTGTTGGACAACGCGAAACTGACACGTGTATTGAGATGAAGTACGGAGATTCTTGGCGTCTCCATTCCAGGTCAACTTCACGGTGTCACGTCTCGTTCCGCCCAAGACTTCCATGCGACATGCCCTCCCACCAACCAAGGCCGCAATGGCTACTTTCCATCCTGTGCCTCATGATGGCCTTCTCCGGAATCGCTCAGGCCAGCATAGGAGACTGGCTGCCCGAGTTCCGGGATTGCGTGCAGGTGCGCATGGTGGAATCCATCGCCATTTGAGCCCAGCGCCCATTCGTTGACGACGATCCCTCTAGCACTGCACCAGAACGAATTGTGAAGGCGACAATCAACTCGGCATCCGTTCGTGCTCCTCCACCCCTCCACCTCATCATGCCTTGCTCTGATCCTCAACACAGCCCTCCAACATCGCCTCCTCCTCTGGACATGTCCCGCGGAATGCGACTACACCTGCCAACACATCACCACCGACACCCGTCTCGCCCGCGATCCACCCTACCTCGAACCCATTGTCCAATATCACGGGAAATGGCCCTTTCACCGCTTCCTCGGCATGCAAGAACCCGCCTCAGTCCTCTTCTCCCTCTTGAACCTCCTCGCTCACAATCATGGATTGTCCCTCATCCGCGCCCAGATCCCCTCTCGATATCCTCTGAGGAAATACTACATCATGTTTGGCTACTTTGGCCTGGCGAGTTGGGTGTTTAGCATCATCTTCCACACCAGAGATTTCAAGACGACGGAAAAGCTGGACTATTTCGCGGCGGGAGCGAGTGTCATGTATGGCATGTACTACACTCCCATTCGTATCTTCCGATGGGATAGACCGGAGAATTTGTCGGGAAGATCCGGGACGGTACTGAGACTGTGGACAATGACATGCGTCGTGGCATACCTGCTCCACATCTCCTACTTGGCCTTTATCCGCTTCGACTACACTTACAATATGGCTGCCAACGTCGTGCTGGGCCTGGCACAAAACATCATGTGGACTTGGTTCTCCGTGCAAAGATACAGAAAAGTGGGCAGAGTGTGGGCCGCATGGCCAGGGTTGATAGTGTTTTGGTTGTTGTTCGCCATGAGTTTGGAGTTGTTTGATTTCCCGCCGTGGTGGGGAATGGTAGATGCRCATGCGTTGTGGCATTTGGGGACGGTAGGCCCGACTATTTGGTGGTACAAGTGAGTACTGGCTTGAGGTTAGTGATGGAAATGGTGATGCTGACTGAATGCAGCTTCTTATTGAAAGATGCGCAGGAAGATATACAGGGTGAGAGACTCAAACAGTGAGAGGTGGGAGTGAGTGCAGGTGCTCTGTTGCCCGAAAGTCATTCCTATCTACGAGCAGCGACTACTCATATTGGGCAGGCCGCAGCCGAAAAGCTTTCCTCCTCCGCAAGACGCAAGATGCTTACTTTTCCAAACCCAGTCGGTACTGTGGGTCCCTTCCATCAGTCTTCCTCCCCCGACAAAGCAGCATCGACTTCCGATGCCCAGGCCGTCACCGCGATTTCGTCCACTCTGTGCTTTTTGCCACTTCTCCGTGTTCTTCATCTCTCGACAAGCGGGGCGTTTAGAAAAGTAGCGTCGAGATCTAGCGTGGAGGTGAACGCTGTGGGTTCTGCCGACTCCATGGTCTACCAAAAGCGAGAGAGGCAGCAGAGGAAATGAGATGTTCGTGTGGATGGTGGAAAATGTGTATGTTGATGTACATGTAATCTACAGAGTCGACGATGAAGTAAGAACCACTCCAATATAACAGCCTAGTCTACTACTCCTTCCTCTCGTTCCGACACAGAAGTCACAAAGATCCTGCGTACCTAATGAAGAGRCAACACCGACAAAGCGCCCCGCCGGTCTGTTAGTCGTCGGGTATAGAAGACCACTCTTTCCTATTGGATGCGCTCAATTCACTTGAGAATCGTGGCTTATCTGGGTGGAGTCGCTCGGGAGAAGTGTGGCAGCGCTCTGAAAGTTCATCCGGCTGTGCACGTGCACGGTCAGGCTGTTGACGCGCAGGGGTTCGTTCGTTCGATCGCGGGGCATCATATCGTTGTACATGAACCGCTGCACCTCTTTCCTGGGATGTGGTGAAGATCCCAACAAGACCGTTGTCGTGAAAGGCACCAACATCGGTCGACTCGAGGGCAATCAATCTGCTGGGACTCAACACTTGTCGTCATCGTCGTCGTCGCCGCCGCGTGGGCCTGAACAACGGATGAGTCTTGATTGATTGATGCGATACAATCTACGGCACGACAGGCCATCCCGACCTCCAACTCCCTCCTTCGACAACAACAACAACGAATATCTTGCGAAGATCCCCACGACCATTTTGCCTCTGAAATTTACCAACGACTCCAACATCTCCCCGACCAATCAATCAGTCCATCAATACCATCAATCCATCCATCAATCAATGGCCCCCGACATCACCTCGCTTCCACTCTCCCCGCGTCCCTCGCAGCCCAACTCGCAGACTCCCTCGACGACCGCTTCTCGACGCCCCTCGCAGATGATGCCTCCGCCCATCCAGCCGGCCTCGCTGACCATTTCGCATCGAAGCCCGATCATGTCGGGCCAGGAGCAGAATGTCCCTCTCCGCCATCCTCGGCCCCTCACCGCCGCCGAGTTGTACCTCGAATGTGAGAAGGAGCAGGAAGCTGTGGTATGTGACGTGCATAAAATAAAGCCTTCATGCAGGAGGGATTTATACTGACATGGTAATGCAATGCAGGTCAATCGCCTCACTCGCGAACTCACCGCCCTCCGCGCTCAGTCCGCTTCCGTCGCCAGCAATCACTCCATGTCGTCCAATTCCACCGCCGCCTCCAACTCGCTCCTCCCCGTCGACATCGGCGACACCAATCCCACACATCAGATGACGGGTGCCACCCATCCTACTCCTTCCCGGAGACATCGCTCTTCATCGTCCATGAGTGGCAGGAGCAATGTCATCCTCACCCCTTCCTCCATCGCTGGCAGCACACAGGCTGTTGCAGGAAGTTCCCATGCGGGACATGGCGTGTCACAAGCTTCGGCAGATCGTGCTGCTGCGGCGGGTAATCTCTCTCGGAATCCGTCGGTGAGTGGAAGATCAGGAGCGAGTACACCAGCGAGGCAGAGCGTGGATTTCTCCAGAAGTGCTGTTCTCGCCCGCCCTTCCATGTCTCGGGAGAACACTAGCTCTTCCACTCTGGCCCAACCTGGTTTTCCGGCGGCCGCTGCACAAGGACCCACGAGGGATGTCCGCGACGCTATGCAGCACTTTGCCGATACCAGCGCCTACCGCACAGAAATGGAAATCGTCAAGGCAGAGAACGATRTCCTACGACAGCGCGTCCGAGCTCTGGAACAGGCTCTCCGCACTCAGCGTCGAGGATCGAGCTCTTCTCGCGAACCAAGAGGGGAGCAGAGAGAGCGGGGAGCCAGTGATGTCCGCACAGACCGTCGCGATGTCCGGAGCGGGGAGAGTCTCTCCACCCGAGGCCACAGCATTGGCTCGCCGCCTCCATCAGCAGGTCTTGGGGTCGCTGCCTGGGCGGCTAATGATGGAGGTATTGGAGGTGTGGCGGGACCGAGGGAGAGGAGTGAGAGTCAATCCACCACCGCGAGCAGTCGGAGGGGCGTCCCTGTTCCGGGCATTACGGACGATGATGTGAGGGTCGGTGAGAGTGCCAGCAGTCTGAATGCTGGTGCGAGAGGTGGCACGGCTTAGGAAGTCTCCCCACCGACTACTCCCCGCGCTGCGAGCATGGTGGAAATCATGAAGAAGGCTTGTGGAATAGGTCGATGTGGTGCGCAAGATGACGCCTAGCTGATTGTGCGGTGTGGGAAGAGAGACTGGACTGGACAACATGTCTTCCCTTTTGTTTTATTGGGCTTTCAGCGAGCGAGCGTGATGTTTCTCGGCGTGGCAAAACTGGATCGGATAGTCCATATGGGTGCGTATTGGGTGCGCGGACGGAGTTCAGGGGAGTGGAAGATCGACCAGGGAGCTGCTATGCAGCAGTATATCAACAATAGCATCGTGCTAGACTGAATTGATGCTGTTCACATCCAGCCCTTTTGCCATCAACACGAGCAGAAGATGAGGACTACAAGTGATTCATCGACGAGGGCAGAAAGCAACGGTTGCTGTGGAGAAATCTATCGAGTGGTGGAATAAGTAACACACAAGTGGTAGCTTTGCATCACCTTTTGTCGTGAAGTACGATCTCTCCGCTGGGGTCCGCCGTTCCATCTTTCTTCCGGACTTCAAAGCACTGAGAAGAAGAAATATCGAGAAGAGACTGCGAGATTGTCACAATCAAATTACATGTCTCCCGCTGCGCCCCTAACTTATTGTCTCCCTGACTAATCCGTCCGCTTCGCGTGGGAAGACAGCCATCACCCTCCTCTTCGCCATCTTAGCGACTGCCAGCGGTACTACCCTACTGTCTGCACCAACTCAAGTCAACAACGCTGTCCGTGTTTTCAACAGTTCTTCCAACAAGGGATTGGACGCTGTTGCTGGACAAGCCACTGTCGATGAGAAGCGATACCACTGGGATACTTTCTGGGACGAAGGAGTATAGATGTGAGACGGAAGTGGCTGGGAGTGAGAAACGATCAACCAGAAACGTGGAAGGATGGTATTATGAAAATGATATCACCGGAGGTACATATTGAATCAATGGATTGGTCTACCCCTAGGCTTCTCGCCATCGATATAAGAGGTAAAAGGCCACTCACTGATTGCCAGCCTTGTTCGGTCAGAATTGAGCATCGCGGACACATTCACATCCAAGAAAAAACCCCTTCCTATTCCGCAACCAACTTCAAAACTGCGAAACTACGGAGAATGGATCAGTCGTTCGATATCATCACTTGAATACCTACTTCGCCCTCTCAGCCTCTCCACCCTGGGCTGACGAACCTTCGCCTCAGATCCAGCACAACTCTCACAGACCACATGAAATCGCCTCTCCGCTGGCATAACACCTCGGATCTGCAAACCGCCCTCTGATTCTCTCCCCTTCTTCAGACAAGGGCAACTTCCCACACGCAGGACGAGACATCCAACCATCATCGATGAGCTTGGAACACTCCACCTGAGTAGCCAGAGTGTGATAAGTCAAATGCTCTTTGGGGCATTGGTTTTCAACGTCTGTTGCTGGCGGACTTGGAGGGGAATCAGACTTTGGCGATGTCATGTCGAGCTCCGCATCTGAGTGAGCGAAAGTGGCGAGAGACGCTGGAAACTCTGGAGGAAACCGGGGGACTGAAGGATTGAGCTCGAGTGGCACGGTTGTGGGTTGGTCGCGGAGAGGGAGAGAGGATGGATCTCTCGGGTGGAGGATTGGGTCTGGAAAGTTGAACTCAGGGTCGGCGGATGAGGTGGATTGCATCTTAGCACCAACGCAACTGGAGCAGTCTCCTTCAATGTGTTTGACGTAAGAGTCAGCTTCGTGTTGAGCATTCGATCTACGACCTGTGCTAGTATGCTCTTTGGACAGGGCCTCTGATGTGAGAGGCCTTGCTCCAAGATCTTCTTTGTGATGGGTCGGGATGGCCACTCCAAATAGGCTGGATCTGGGCATGAATCGTCCTCGGGACAAGGGATGGGATGTTGAGGTTGGTTCTCTTTGATCCGAACAGGCTGGGAGGAGCAGGCGGAGGCGCATATCGAGAGGCACTGACCTCGAACAGCCCGAAACGAGATTCCAGACTTTTTTTCCGTGGAAACGCCTCCGCCTGTAGAGAATGAATCCTTGGATGTGGGAACACTGCTCTCGCCGAACGTGTCACGACCGTCCTCGGAAGCGAATGGGCTTGATGATGTATCCAAAAAGCGATGAGCAAACTTCTTACCTCTGGTGTCCCCAAACATTCCGGAATCACCACTCAGGATCTCGGCTAGCACGACCTCGCCTTCCGGTAAAGAGGAACATGTTAGCCTGGGCGAGTTTGGTCTCGGACAATGACCATAGATAGCATCTGTCGATAGTTCTCCCGCCCTGCGCGAGCGACCTGGAGCTGGTCACGCAATGAATGATTCTCCTTCCGCAATGTTGCCATTTCCTGGTCATGCCGAGTGGCCTGTGAGTGGATCACATAAGTTAAAGTCGGATCTATTATTGCAATTATCACCCACCTCCAGTCTATTGATGATGGCATACGCATCGYGCGTCGAGAATGATTCTTCGGGCGGTTTACCGGTACTCTGGGCAGTCACCTTCTGAAGTTGTTTGACGTGCGTGAGCCTCCAGTCTCCTCGCCTGGAACTATCGAGAGTGTCAGTCTATACGCGAGCAATGGAAAATATGAGAAAATATGTGGAGATATGATGCACACCTCTCGATCAAAATGACCACCTGATCCGGACACCGCATTTGTGACGCTCATTCTGGACATTCCATGATCGCATTGAGCTTTCTGAAGCTTCCACTCCGAAAAGTCAGCGCATGGAGGAGTAGAAGAGAGAGTTGAGCGTACCTTCTTCTCCCAATCCGGTTCTTTGGCCGGCAGCAAGCCGGTGGACTCCTCTTCAACTTCATCCTCGTCGGCCAGCAGGATCCATCCCTGATCTCCAACACCCAGCTTGTGGGCTTGGACCATGTTGTCATGGAATTTCTCTGGACTGGCGGCAACGTTCTTGCCTCCACTTCCTCGAAATGCTGTATAAGTTGCAGGCCGATCAGCAGTTTCGTCTTCTATGGCTCCTTCCATAAGCGATTATTGGACTTGGCGAGATTCTGCCTCCAGCTGTCCCTGCGAGAGCTTGTTCTCGACAGCGTTTGTTTCGAGACTCCGTTGATCGTCTTCATTTAAGTTGACTGCCAGCTCCACGCTCATATTGCATGAAAGTAGACCTGACGTTGATATCGGTCTTGTTGCGAGCAGGCTGCTGTGTGAATGTGGGACTACTTCGAGCCATTTAAATCTGAGTCTGGAAGTTATATGATGCGACAACCATTCCAAATGCATTCCCTACCGAGAAGAAACAGTTTGTCCATTACACATGCTGCCAAATATGCGGGCTCCCGTTTTGAACAGCACAACATACCTCGAGGCCGTGGGTCTAAGAGGCCGGCAAACAATGACGAATCATGGAATACCGATCCGGAGCAAAGGCTGAATTCTCTCATCAGCCATGTATTCTGATGACTCGTTAACCCCAGCAAGGATGAGAATCAAAAACCCAGATCAAAAAATTTCAACGTGTACAGGCCACGACCGGACATTTGAATGACGGCGTCGTACAGGTTTCCTCGGAGAAATCTCAAATCAGGGCTCTAGGCTACTGTTGATATGCACGCGCTTTCTACCACCCTTATGAACGAAACACCGTTTTGTTCGCTCCGGGGCTCGATGCTCAATCATCCCTAACAAGCCTACGACCATCTTCTTCGATGCTCATCACATCTTCCCTGATATCATCAGCTTCTGTCACCCTCATATAGCGATCGATGTGTACAGCACCACATCCAGCACACTGTTAATACGCTCGCGAGGCGAGCAATAATCTGCGGTCCGGCCTCGATGATCTCAGTAGTATCAAACGACACTTCGCCACAGATATTATCCGGCTTTTCTGTATCACCTCTTCGAACATTACTTTCCATTGTCGACCGGCAGGGTCTGTGTACATATGGGTGGAATCAGGGGCTGAAGTAGCTTTACAAACGATTGCGACCCTATCATTGCGTACGATCTCGGGGTGATCACATATCTCGATGCTCTCCTTGCGGAGTGTAGTAAGCTCGAAGTTGCGAGCAGAGGGTTCCTGGGCGATTGTGTTGAAATCTGTCAAGCGGGATGGCAGTCAGACCTCCCATATCTAGCATGGAGCTCCCATCAAAGCTGTAACTCAATGGGCACGCTCGAAACATTCGGAGGAAACACTATTGGCGGAATAAGTTGTTCCGTTAAGGAGCAGTTCATGCCGGAAGAAGAACGGAAGGCCTTTACCAATCATTGAGCGGAGAATTTACTGCAGGGCAAACTCCTCTGTGCGTTCAGTTTCAGAGACTACACCTGGCTTCTGACAGCGTAGGGCTCACTCATAACTACAGTGCCTCGTGTCACTTTCACGATGACGGTATTCCAAGTCTCGAGCTCTGGCTCTCTGCGTTCCCTATGGAATTCGGAACCTTCAAAACTCTGTGCCCCGACAATAAGGAGGCGTCTAGAACTCTGAGCACGAATCTTCGGCTTAATAGCCTATGACCTTATAGAAACTGCTCATGTAGTTGCTCTGTGATCATTCATGGTGAAACTTATGAAAGCAGCCGAGCCGCATTGTTAGAAGATACCTGGCTTCTGCCCTTCCAAGGACGGGACCCGCGTTGAAACCATGAAAGCCATGAGAACTGTTAGTATCGAGAGCACTGCCAAAACATTTGCGTTGATTCTTCGTGCAGCGGGAAACAAAGCAATGTGGAGCTTAACGAGCTGGTCAACTCTATGCTGCACTACTACGCCTCCTTGAGTTATACTATGCCTATCTTTAAAGATGTTAAACCCTTGGACATCAGGAAATTCATGTGGAACACAAGATCGCTCTACCCCAACCCTAACCCTGAGCGCCAGGCATTTCAAGAGGTCGCTTGATGCCATGTTCAACAACCAATCCAATCCCACAACGCTGGAGTCAAGAGTACTCAAGGTAGAACAGAAGCCATGATCCAATACAGTAGAAGCAATGGACTTCCGAGTCACAACGAGAGGGAACATCATGGCCGCTTTCTTGGAAAAAATTCAGGTCGTCATAATCAAATGCCCATCTACATGTACCTCCTCACAAAAACGAGCACCACCCAATATACATGCTCGCAAGCCTAAAATGACTAGTAGCCTCCTGGATCAAAGCATCAACATACCCCTCCGTACTCAACGGCACCGTTTCCCCTCTCAACAGCCCCTTCAACTTCGTTGCCACACTCTCGAGAATCTCAGCCGGAGTCTCGGGCACCCCAGCCGTGGATCGCTTCTTCTTGTTGCCCACAAAATCCGTTGTGGGATCGTAGAGAAAGGTCTCAAGGACCGTCATGAGAGTATCCTTCTCTTGCCGCAGCAGGCCAAGAGTCAATTCGGAGGACTTTCTGAAGGGCCCTTCGTAGCCGTAGGCGCCCATAGCATCGACCATGTTGTKCGTCAGGCGGAAGGGAACAAGTTCGGGTTTCTCAAACGTTAGACCTTTGTCGAACAGACAATTGAAGTCTACATGGAAGACTCCACCTGTTCCTTCTTCGAGGAGTATGTTCTCACCGTGACGATCGCCCAAGCCGAGGATATGCCCTGTCATGGACATCACGGCTGCGGTGCGGGCATAACGTACACGGGCATTGAACCAAATCTCTGGCTCGGGGTATGTCTCGGTGAACCATTCATGCAGTGAGGCGGGAAATTGGGAGAGAATCTTTTCTTCGAAGACGTGGGCGTTTGCTGGACTGGCGGAAGCGACGTCCAGGTCCTTTTTGATTTCGGTGTAATTGGGCCGGATGCCCTTGCGAGCGTAGAGGTTGAGAAGAATGTCGCGCATAGGTTTGATGCCTTCCACCCACTCGATAGTGCCGCTCTCCTCGCTGAGCGGGGTCACAGCGTACGTCTTGATGTATAGACGCCGCTTGCTGCTCTCGGTGTTCCTCTTCAGCGCTCGATTGATGATGCCGTTGAATTCCATCAAACGCTGATCTTTGCGAAGATCATCCTTCGGTTTGCAAAGTAAACCATACTGTTTGCCGTCTGACCCGCGGAGTGTAATCTTCTTCGGCCGCTGCAGCGAGTTAAGAACGAGTACATCGTCAGAGAACGACTGAATGGTGACCTTGTCCTGGGTGAACGCCTTGTGTTTCCGGATCGATTCGCTAGATGCCGTGGGAGGCGCAGAAGCAGTCAGCGTAGCCTCAACAGGCACAACAAGACTGCTCGGAGCAAGCTTCATGTTGAATCCGAGACCCTTCAAGCTGACATGAATCGCCCGCGCCTCCACTGGTTGCTCGCAAGCTTGAAGCAGGCCATCTGATAATCGCTGACCCTGATTGATCAATGTTCGCAAATCAACAGCCGTTGCGTCCGACTTTGACTTGTTTTTTGGATCCCTCAATTTGTTCAAGACTTCATTCCCGCGCTCCACACGCACCCGATCGGTGGCCTTGACAACCGAGAGCAAACTCCACAGAGCCTGACTGGGGTGGGCGGTGGTAATTCTGGTGAGGATGTTGCACAGCTGCTTCCACACCTCCGCATGTGGATGCGTGATACGAGAGATGAGCTGTGGCAGAGCATGATAAAAGACGTACGGAGGTACCCTCTCGAAGTACTTCTGAAGCTGCTTGTTGCAAGCCGCCAATGATTTTGCGCGCTTGTCAGCTATGGCCTGGTCTTCTCGTGTACCCCTGGCTAGAGCATCTGTCCCAAGCTCCAACCACAAGGTGATGACCCTCGGAATGGTCTCGTGCCAGTATTTGTTACCGAATGGAATCGATCTGAGCGAGTTGTCGACGACCAGCTTCGTTAATTCTCCAGTCATGAAAGATTGAGTTCGCTTTTCCTTTGGCAGAGCTTTCTGTGCATCGAGCAATTTGCTGTAGTGCTTGCCGAGGTAGTAATGCCCCTTCTCCCATCGCTGATGACGCCGGGATGCCAACTGGTATCTTTCAGTCATATCCTTGGTCTGGCTCTGTCCAGAAGCATCGAGCCACTTTGCGAGAAGTAATAAAGCTTTACCTGTGAGCACATTCTGGGCGTGGCCATTGATGGGTTCAGACGACAGGCTTGTGATGAGGCTGCCTCCGACACTGAATTCTGGGTCMAGATCTGCGGCATCAAAGATTTCGTTGTCTAAAGCAGCCTCCAGGGATTGAATTGCTTGTCGTTGGTGACCCTCGTGCCACAGGAGTCTTGCTTCCTCTAGCTTCGCACCGTGGTTCCCACAATCCGAAGCATTCAGCACGGCATTGTGGGCACAGCTCGTATTCTTCGATTTTCTTGCAAGCCGAGCTGTCGTGAGCCAAAGAGCTCCATATCGCGAGCGGGAAAAGACTTCTTCACCACGTAAGGCCATGACTGCACGACGAATACCAAGAAGGTACTGTTTGTCCTGCACGTATGAGCCAATGACGTTGAGCCGCTTGTCCAATGCTCTCAGCAGCTGAGACACTTGGTCGGGGCTCACACTCATCAAAGCATCCAACTCATACAATACATGCAGCTTGAAGACTTCGTTGTGACAGGCTTGAAGCGAATCCGTTCCGGCCATCGACAGGCCATCAGTGATTGACTTGCGCAGTGCGTGAAGCTCTTGTTGGAAGGAAGACTCTGCTTGGTTCGCAGCATGAAGCAGCAATCTCCCAACGCTGACATTGAAGTCTGGATTGACCACTTTACGATCCAGCTGAAGACGAGGCTCAAGTGTCTTCATCGTGCCGGTCATCCAGCATGCCTCGGCTGCCAGAGGTAGAAGAATCTGTGATGCCCCCRCTGCTTTCTCGCCGTCATCGTGATTGAGGTCCAAGAAACCGTTCGCATATCTCAGAAGCGAGGCGTATTGTCCAGTCTCACGGAAGCATTCCAAAACGTTGTGCTGCAATAGCGCATTGTCAGGCTGATCTGCTAGCTTGAGCTCGAACCAAGCCTGAGCCGCAGTCCAACGACCGGCCYTGGAATGATTAATTGCAAGTTGAAGTTCGGTCACGAATGGAAGGTGTGCAGCGATGCCTTCAAGTCCATCGGGCTCGTCGATTTGACTGTAGATGTCTTGTAGGGTTGCATATAGATCCTCGTCTGCTGTGGTGAGCGTCTTGTCTGGTATGACGTTCCGCTTCTGCCGGATGTGCTGGTCCMAGTAGAACAACGCACGAGAATAGGACCGGCACTCGACTGCTTGCTGGGCAACAGTCTTGGCAGGAATAGAGGCCAGGAAATTCTCAATCGTTTCAATCTGACCCATGGCCTTGTCCTCGTCGAACTCGTTCGGAGACATGCCGGTTTTGTATGCCGCTGTCCGGGTGTCCGAGAGGTTCTTCCGCTTTTCTCTCAGCCAGGTTGAAATGTAGTCCAAGACCGCAAATACATTCTCACTGCATAGCCGGACAGTTTCCTGTTGGGATTGTGATTGTGGTTCCGCTTTCAAAACGCTCAAAATCTCGTCCGTGATACCTTTGATCTCTGTCATAGTACCGCCAAGTACGACGTTCATAACGGCGTAGGGAAAGATGAACCTCGGGATTGCCAGATCCTGTCCGCGAAGGATCCGAGCAAGCAGAGGGAAGAAGGATTGGGCATTGTCTCCCTTGGCCTTGAACAGTAGATCAGTCGTGATGGATCGCAACCAGTGGCTGTGCGAATGTTCCACATCGAAGCTTGGATACTTTCGATTCGGCACAGTAAGTTCGCTGTTGCTTGTTATGAGATAGCGAGAGGTCAAAAGAGGCGTCAATGTCGCACGGACATGATCTGGTAAGGAATTCCATCGCTGAAGCGACTCGGGTGCCTGAGAGCCTCGCGGCCGTAAGTTGGTGGCATCGCCAAACTTACAAAATTTTAGCAGTTCTTGCATCGTGTATGCCAGGAAGCCTTGCTGTCGGGCATTGGTGACCGACTTGAATGCTTTGACAAGGACGTCTTCGAAAAGGGACACGATCCAATCTATGACTTCTTCCGGTGCTTCGAAGTTTGACAATACGAGCAGCGATCTCTTCTTCCTGGTGGCTTCGACGCGATTGGGATCAAGACAGCCAATGATGCCCAGGGCTCTTCCGCAAAGTTCAGCTGCTGCGGGCGCAGTGTTGCGGACAGTGACATCCAACAAAGCACAGACAAGCTCAGACACGACAATGGAAGGATGCTCGCTTGCAGCTGTATCGTGGATGAAGTCCTGGTTCGTCTCGAGAAAGATGACGAGTTCAGTCAAAGTCTGGAAGACCAGTGTATCGCCATCCACTCGGAGACGTCGAGCAAAAGATCTCGACTGACTCTCAACACTCTCCGAAGTTCTCAATCGCTCGAACTCAGCCGCAAACTTTGACAACAGCGGCACGCCATTGAGTGATGGCAATGTCATGATGTTCTCCTGCAGTATCGCGTTGTGTGCTTTCACCAGTCGGCCTAGCATTTCGTGCGTCTTCTGGTGGAGAGCAGGGGAGATGGCTGACCAGTGTCGTACGATTATGACGAATGTCTCATCCACGATGGTTGCGACATCCTCCTCATCGAGGACAGGAATCAAAGCAAGCCACGCATCAAATGCGACCTCTCGGGTGTCATCCTGCTCAAGAGCGGACTGTAAACAGGCTCTAATCTGGGGAAGCGCAGCAGATACGTGGCCTTTGGTGAGGTTGAACATCTCGATCATGCCGTTGAGACAGCGTATGCGTTCGGAAGTAGGCTCGGGAGCAAGGCCGATCTCAAGCATTGTGGAGAAGTGTGTAAGGATGCCGAGAAGGTGGTTCTCAAGAAAAGCCTCTAGTTCCTTCTTGGAGCTCTTCCGCCTCTGTCCAGGTGTGCGCTCGGAGATACTAGCCACTAATTGAAATGCTTGGTACGCCATGGGCTTTCTGCTCTCGTGTTCCTCGCCGCAATACTTCAACATCTCACAAGCGACTAGCACAGAGTCCAGCTTCACAAGACCAGCCATGTCGGTGTTTTGAAACTCGGGTGCAATTTCAGCTAGACATGCTAGCGCAGACTGCTCTGGGTCCGCCCAAGGTTGGACAAGCAGCAATGTGAGGATGGAAGCCAGATTGCTTCGTGGCTGCATGCATATATCTTTGGCGCTACTACCATTTGTCCGCGCTGCAGCGATTCTGTGAACGATGTCCTTTTTCTTGGTGAGAACGAGCGTTGGTAATGTCTCTCGCTGGGTATGCACAAGGAATGCGTTGACTCCCATTCCCAGAAGATCGCATAGTTGCTGCGTCTTTTGCGGCTTGACGCTGAGATCCTGGACGACCGAAACTGCGACTGAACGCCAGAAAGGTTGAAAGAGCTCCACTGTCCGCTTCGCTTTGGCGATTGCAATGGCTTCGATTTCAGAGAAAGCGTAGCCCACAACGAGAGGATTGGGGTGGCCCAAGTAATCCACCAGACGAAGAAGAGTAAGGTTCATTTCCGTGGGACTGGAAGCGATCGCAGCCTGACCCCATGCAGCAATCAAAGTCTCTTGCTCGCTCGCAACGTCTCGATCGGAAAGCTCGCGGAGGCGTGTCATTGCGCGCTTGCGATTTTCATCTCTGGTGTTATCTGGGAGATCATCGCGAAGAAAGCATGGGAGTAGATTGCCCGAGGCAATTCTCAACTCCCGTAGGGAACTGTTGAGTCCCATCATACAGTATCCGCCGAACTGGGAAGAGCTTAAAGACGTATACGCTGCGTCATCCGTCCGCTGTACCAGAGCCTTGACAGCAATAGCAGATAGCACTCGCGGCCCTGGGGTATTGCGCAAGTCCGACACTTCCAGCAACCTCGAAACCGTCGCTTGGGTTGTCTCAAAGTCATGAACAGCCAACTCGATCAAACACTTCCACGCGGCACACTGATCTTCATTGGAAAGCGATGCGTAGATGGAAGGAGCAACTTCTGGCATTGCTGAAATGTCAGCATCTTCCACACCAATCAAGRGCGAAGCTGTTTTCCGAAACAGGGCGTGGCGGCGGGACATTGGATCTTCTGTGATGACTTTCCGACGCTTTCGGCGTTGTGGTCGTGACGGGTGCACCTCACATGAACTCAATTCCTGAAACGCCATGGCGAGATCGCTGTCCGTCATGGCGCTGTTCTGTTCGAGGTCACGACGCAGCGCAGTGACGTGCTCCGGCGGATGATCTTGATGTCCAAACCGAGTATACCAAGTCGCGATGGCGATCTTGAGATCCTCATCAAGAGCTGGCCAAAGCTCAGCAGTGCCGAGGCATCGTATCGCTGGCATTAGCACATCYCTTGAATTGTCACTGTCATGTCTGAGGTGGTCCATAAGTGAGCGGGCCAGGAGCCTATGTGATGTCCGGCGCTTGTCTAGCAGTTTCTGCGAGTTTGAGGGTTTTGCGAGAGCGGCATCTCGCAGTAAGGCCGCCAAAAGCGACCAGCTGCGTGGTAGAAAAAGCATTTGCTCGACTGAAGACTCCCACAAATCTGCATCTTCGAGGGATGATTTCGATTTTACTGCTTGCCGCTGCAATCGGATGTACGCTTCTTGCTGCCATGTCTTGTTCAGTCCTCCCACCTGAGAAATGATCAAAGCAATGGCAAAGGCATGAGGCGTTTTGCTGACAGCAATGGTGTGGCCCCGAGGCATGGCAATGGAGTTCTCCGATTGAGGCCAAAGCTTGCCGACGCTCCTCGCAGGAGGCAAATCGATGGTGAAAGCTGCGTGAGGGAATGGCAGATCCTCGAGAGCAAAAAGAAGGTCTGTAAGAAAGAAATGAGTAAGACATCACTTACCATAGGTTTGTCCACGTACCATCAACGCATTCCTGAAGAACTTCTTGCAAGACTCGAGCCTGTGGCCAGAAGTTGACGGAATTGCGGAGGGCCGAAACAGCAGACTCGAGCACTCTTCTCACTGGTAAATTCTCGCACTTGGATTTGCCGCAGAAAGCTATGAGCAGACTGAGCAGGCTGAGCAGTAGTTGCGGTCCATCTGATGTGAGCTCCTCCAGCAAGACCTCCGGCTGACGTTTCACCGTGGCCTCAATGACGGACATGCTATCCACGGCCAGCGAAAGAAGGACATCATCATCTGCGAAAGGATTTCCTGTGGTGAGAGGGACCAGTCCAGCTTGCATTAACACACTGACCAGCTGCGCGTTGACTTTGACATCTGTCTCTTGGACCGTGGCTTGGTTGTAGAGGATGGCCTGCAAWTGCTCTCGGATATTGGGTGTTTTGTCTGAGGCCTGGTGGCTAGTGGCGGGACGAGTCTGATTCTGGACAATCTGAGCGGCGAGCGTGGATTGCGGAGCTACATGGCCGTTGCTGGGACCTCGATTGACGATTGCAGTACGTCGAGCCATGTTTCAGGCTGATGGGAGTGTCTTTCATCYCATGTCCAACTTTTGAGATGGAGAGCTCAAAGTGCCAGTGCAGTGTTGCCTGGGACGCGACTTTGATGCGGGCGGGCGCGACGCGGCGAGAACCTTATCTGGGAGATCAGCGACGGGGAAACCGAGAAATAGCCGACTGACATCTGCTCTATGCTAACGAGCGCCTCGCCTCGCCATCCTCGATTCACTCAATCAATCTTCGCCTCTTGCCAACCATGGGTGTCTTCCCCGCGAAGAAGTTCCGCTCGAGCACTTACAACTCTTCCATCCCTGCCAGATACCGCGCCCTCCTCGCCCGACATCCCTTTGCTCTCTTCGGCCTACCTTTCGTCGCGACCATGCTTCTGGGAAGCTTCTTCCTCACACCCGCCACCGCGCTGAGATATGAGCGCCACGATCGCAAAGTCAAACAGTTGTCCAAGGACGAGGAGCTGGGGATTGGGAAGGATAAGCGGAAGATTGATTTGGCGGAGGAGTATTATGTGAGTAATCATCTGGAAGCATTGATGGAGAGGTGAAGTAGACTGCTGACATGATGTAGAAATTGGCGGCCAAGGATTTGGATAGTTGGGAGCAGAAACGGGTGAAGAGATTACCTGGCGAGCATGATGGTGTGCTTTGAAGGATGGAGGCGATTTGACACTATACCCTTGATTACGACTGAACGAAGACATGCTTTTTGGAAGATATCAGCATTGGACAGATTGGGATCTCAGACAACCCTATACCGGAGCGTGGAGACTAGAAGGGAGACCAAAAGGTTCACCTCCAGGAGTGTATTCCGCCGCACGAAAGTTGCCGGATCAGTCTTCAGCTATACACGGCATGCACCGAAGAACTCGGCTTTGCTTGCCATGTAGAGCGGGACACATCTGAAGAGGCAGGTGGAGAGAAGATTTKGAGGACAATGCAGGTGGTATTTGGATATCTCTCGAAAAGCACACGATCTACAAGCAAGCAATCCACGCCTTCAACCCCCCACAACAGCCTTGAATTGTTTTGGCATCCCTCATCCCATCCCATTCCATGTCATTCATTGCATTCGATTTCACATTTAGTTCTCATTGGCGGCCTTGATCATTGGTGATCCCGGAATGGGCGTATTGCCTGGCATAGGTGTCCGACAAGCCTTTGGCCGTCCAGAAAGCGTGTCGACGACATCGACCAGCGCCATCCAGAACTCATCCTTGGGTCTCCGATCCTTMCAGTCGGTCTCCTCGCGCTCGATCTTCTCCATATCTCGGACCTTTACTCGCGCTCCTCGCATACCAATCACAGTGACGGACATCGGGTCGTCTGCGATTTGCTGCCTTGATTTGCCCGAGAAGCTCTCCAAGTGCTGCAATGACTTGATCCCGAAACGGACTGCTCGCACACGATCCATGGGGCTTGGTATGCCGCCTTGTTGTACATGACCAGGAACTGCGAATCGAGAGTCAAACTTGCCGTTGCTCTCTTCCTTGATGGCCTCGGCGATGAATTCGGTGGTGTAGACTTTGCTGGCCTTTTCATTCCTCAGGATGATCTTTCCGGACCGGTTGTGCCCGATGTCGCGCTCAAAGGATTCCTTCAAGAACTTGATGTCCTCAACAAGCATGTTGAGATGAATGCCCTCTTCGGGAGTATACACGGCCAAAGCGCCGATACAGAGTCCAGCGATGGTAGCAATATATCCCGAAGCACCACCCTGTGTCTCCACGACGAATACTCGCCGACGAGATGCCGAGGCAGACTGCTTGATTGAGTCACAGTAGTCAATCAGGGCGTTGAGGCAAGTGTCGGAGCCGATGGAGAACTCGGTTCCAGGGACGTTGTTGGAGATTGTAGCGGGAAGGACGACCATGGGGATCTTCAGAGATTCGTACTTTTCGCGTCCTTGTCGTAGCTCAGAGACGGCTGTGAAGGCTTCGAAGCCTCCGACAACATACAAGGCATCAATCTTGTACTTGTCAAAGCAGGCTGCAACTTTATCGAGGCCACACTTAGGGGACGACGGTAGGTCGCGGTTCGTGCCAATCTCGGAGCCACCCTTGGATCCCCAGTTCTCAGCATCCAGCCAGGACACTTCCCGAACCGATCCCAGCGGCTTGTCGTCGTGGTGGCGCACGAGACCGGGGAAGCCGTTGTGGAGCGCCACGGGTGTGTGGCCTTTGCTCAAACAGTACGCCACAGCTGCGCGTGTTGCTGCGTTCATACCACCTGCTGGTGCACCGACATGGATGATGCCAATCCGCATTCTCTTCTCCCGAGGAAGCAACATGGTGCCCCCCTCCGCAGCCGTCGTGATGTGGAATGCCTGGAGTAGCTCTTCAAACTCGGCGTCTCTGCCTCTCATCGCCTTCTCAAAGTCCTTCTTGCCAATGTCCTCGGCGACTTGCTGTGTCAACGCAATTGCCTCCATGAGATTCTTGCGAACAATCTTGTTCTCGAGGATGCATATCACCGGTGATGGGGTATCTGGAGTAGCGTCGAGGACAGCCTTAACGGCCTCGACACCCTGCAGAGCTGCCAACATACGATCGTAGGCGCAGGGAGGTCCACCGCGCTGCACGTGTCCCAATGTTGTCACTCTGGTGTCGAGTCCGACTTTGTTTGAGAGCAAGTCCTTGACCATGCCCGGCGAGATGTGTTTCAGGTTTCGATCGTGCGCACCTTCTGCCACGATGACGATGGTCTTCCGCTTCCCCATTGTACGGTGCTTCTTCACAATTGTGCACATTTCCTCCTCCCAGTTCTCTGATGGAGGCTGCTCGGGTGTGAAGACAAAGTCGGCTCCGCAGCTCACCGCAGAAGCCATTGCGAGCCATCCGCAGTGTCGTCCCATGACTTCAATGACAAAAGCCCGCTGGTGTGACAGTGCCGTGGCTTCGATATAGTCGATCATTTGACAGATGCGCTGGAGGGAGCTGTAACATCCAATGGTGGCATCCGTTCCGCTGAGATCATTGTCGATGGATCCAACTGTCCCGACGATGTTGAGATGACGATAAGGCTTAACGTCCGACTCTTTGCGCTTCCCACTCGACACGAGCTCATCCATGAGACTGGGCCATWCCTTGCTGAAGAGATTGGCTCCGGTGAGAGAGCCATCTCCACCACATACAATCAAAGCATCGATTCCTCGCTCGATCATGTTGTTCGCGGCTGTCAATCGACCTGCTCGCTCCTTGAATGCCATGCAGCGTGCTGTTCCAATCAGAGTTCCACCTTCCGAGCTCCAGCCTCGTACATCGTCCCATGACATCTGCTTGATCATGTCCCCGCCGTCGACGAGTCCTTGATATCCTTCGTAGACGGCGTATGGTACGCAGCCCTGATGGATCAGATATCGTACTGCAGCGCGTACAAACGGACTCATTCCGGGTGAATCTCCTCCCGATGTCATGATCGCAACACGCTTATTGCCGACGCCCCGGGGCGGGCTGAGCGTGATTTGCGCCATGGTTGTGTTGTGTAGGTGGTGTATCGTGGATGTAGGGAAGAGATAGAAGAAGCGGTGGAAGTCAGATGGGAGAGCTTCGTGTTTCTGCTGGTGAACCTTTTTTTTGAGAGCTCTCTCGCTTCGTACCTACGTCAACTCCTTCGGTGTCTTTTCGGTTGGTGGGGTTCGGCGGCGGGCCGATTGAGAAATGACGATGTTGCTTGAAGATTAGCGATTCCTGACGACACCTCCAGTCTTTCCTTCACTGCGACACTTGGATGGGGAATCCGAGCAGTTTTGTGGGTGCACGAGCGAACAGCGCAGCAACATCCTTATCGGAGGGGCTCAGGCCGATCCGGCCTCTTCCGAAAAGTCTATCCACGTCCCATGGCACGTGCAATGGAAACCTTATGGCAGGAGCAAGGCGGTGATGATGTTTCCATCTCTCGCCGATGAATTGGATGAAAAGGTTGGCTGAACGATTAATTCACCTTGCGATGCATGTCTGTGCATGTCTGTGCATGAATCGGAACGGATCGTGGGAATCCCGTCGACGGTCGGACACATCAGATCTCCCGCCTCTTCTGCTTCCTACTCCTCCATTCCACGGTTGATGGTTTTGGTTGCTCCGAGCACCGACGGACACCTCCTGCATGGCGGAAGATAGCGTCGACCTTACTACTTTATCCTTGAGAGATTGGACTGATTGCAAGTGCACAATCATGTAGGCTGCGGCTTGCGCCATTTAGATGAATCGTGTACGCGTGGCGGTCTCCAAAGATAGGTAGAGCAAAAGCATAGGTAAGCGTCACCGCATTGGTGCTTCCTGACACCGCAGTCAACAATTCAATCAACACAGCGGACGTGATTGGGATATCGATCTCCGACATCAACAACACGACATGGCAAAGCTGTGGTTTCTCATTCTTAGCACTTTCTTAATCTTTCAATCCCATCTCATCCACGCCGACTCATCAATGCGTCGCCCACGAGCTCTGGTGTACCGCGGTCCAGCAGCCTGTGAAGGATGTCCCGAATCCGTTGCCGCATTACTGCGATCCTCTCCCCAAAACTTCAAAGTCCGCTATGCGGGTCCCAAGGAAGCCATCCGCATCACCCCGGAGAACCTCAAGAAATTTGACCTGTATGCTCAGCCGGGAGGTGGAGATGGTATGCGGACGTCACGATCATACCTACATTTACGAGACTGACATTGCGAGGCGATAGATGTAGATGAGACGTTTGCACAGGTAGCGGCATATGCCCCAGCAATCCGCGACTTTGTCGCAAACGGCGGACGCTACTTTGGTATCTGTTTGGGTGCATTCTTCGGCGGACCCTCACCCGGCTATGGCCTCCTTCCCGAAGGTGCAGATGCAAAGTCCGAGATGCTACAGAAAGGCGCCCAAGTCACCAATGCGGATGATGCCGTCATTCAGATGGACTGGATGTGGGCTACTGGACCCAAAGCTGGTCAAGCAATAAAGAAACGATGGGTCTATTTCCAGGATGGCGCCGTGATTCTGAAATTTGTTCAAGGAAAGGACGCATTCGTGCTTGGGCGATATTCTAGTAACGGTGATGTTGCTGCCACGCTGAACAAGTTCGGTAGGGGCTGGGTCGGGCTGGTGGGACCTCATCCCGAGGCTGACCAAGATTGGTGTGAGTGTTTTCCTACTGAGGTGCTTGGGTCAGGAGCTACGCTGATGACTCCTTAGTTGATGATGAGGACTTGAGAGCCCCAGACGGTTTGTCTTTTGACATTGGCCATGACTTGATCGAGGCGATCATGTCAGGAGGTCCAATTCACCCTAAGGAGGGACTGTGAGGTCTGGAYATGATTAACTTGGAGAACCATCTCAGATTGCCAGACATGTCAATATCACGATCGTCCGACAGATCAAGAGTCTGTAGTTCCCCTCACACTGACCCTTATTCTGTCATCTCGACATAGGCTCTGTGTCTGTTGGCACAAATCTCTCCATTACCAGACTCGCTCGCTAAACCTTTCTCAAAGGGCGGATATTGTTGAAGAATCCTCAAATTGACAGCTGCGAAGATCGGATAGGCATACTGCCCACTCGATCCATATTCCGCAAGGTTATACATGTCAGCAGTGTGCTTGTTGGTTCGGTTAAGTTGGTTATTGGTAGCTAACCGGTTGGTTACCAATTGGTATGGTTAGCATCTTTTAGCCTGTTAGTTGTAGTTGGTATGGAGTAGGTTGGTTACCGGTAACTAACAGGGAACTGTTCCGATTAGCTCTATTGCCCTCGGAGGTCCGTAACCTTAATGTTCCGGTAAGGGCTAGAGTGAGTAATTAGCTGTATATAGCATTATTATTATTAATTCAATGCCGTTCGGTAGCTGGCTAGTTGTAAGTTAAGGCGTAACTAATATAGTTACTCTTAATCCGGATAATACACTATATAACTATGCTTCCCTACCTATACGTATTACTATCTAAGGAGCGCGGTATACACGCTACCTTACTATTACTAGCGTAAAGGACCTAAGAAAGCGAAAGAGCGCGATATAGTAATACGGTGAGTAGTTAGTAAAAGAGGCGGACGGCGTAAGTGCCTAGTACTACTATTACTACGAGCGTAAGGGCCGGAAGCAAACTCTACTAATTCTTAATAGTAATTAAGGGCCGCTCTACTACCTCTTAAGGGAGCATAGTATCGATAAGGAGGGTAAGAAGGTGTTAAAACCGGAGCGTAAGGCTAGTATTACTACTATAATGCTATCGCTAGTTACCGTTAAGAGCCTCGAGAGGTTTAAGAGCCTACTTGTTCGCTAGGTTATGTATTACTACATCTCTTTCCGCATGCTCGAAAACACGTACTTTCGCGCCCTCGTCTCTTTTATAAATAGTAGCCTCGGTAGCCTCTTACTACGCGCTGCTTCGATAATTCGATAGTAGGTATTAGATAAGTATAAGGCGCGAAAGGTCGTGTTATAGGTAGAGATACTAGATACGCTAAGCGACATCTATATGTCGTTTAATAGCTAGACGAGTCCGAATAGCTACTTAATCCTTAGCGTTAATGTACACTTTATCGATGCGAAAGGGAAGCGTAGGATAGAGCGACTAGCCTTTAGAAGGATCCGCGGCGAACATACTAGCGACAATATCGGTGCGAAGCTGCTTTAAGTAGTTAGAGAGTGGAACATTAGAGGGCGGATTAGATACTTTATCGCGGATAACGCTAGTAATAACGATCCGGCTATTAATTTCGTCCTTAGTACGCTCTATCTAAAGATAAGCGCTAAGTACCGTAAGGCGCGTAGGCTAAGGTGTCTTAGCCACATTATAAACCTTATTACGAAGGCGATGTTGCTCGGTAGGGGTAGTAGTAAAGCGATAAAGGATTTAGAGCGTAATATCGAAAAGGGCGCTTTCGAGAAAGTTAAGGAGTTCTAGCGTAACCGTAGAGCCGTTAGACGCCTACACAACATTATTAAATAGATTAGAGGGTCGACAAACCGGTTAGAGGCGTTTAAGAAGGTGTATTATAGTAGTGTAGAGGCGGTAATGTTTAATAATCTAAAGGTAAGTCTAAGAAAGTAGGTCTATACCGTTCCGGAGGTAACTCCGCTACTAACTCCGGTAAATCCGGAGTAATTCGTCCTTGCTTTCTTACTAACTTTTACTAACCTTGCTAATTACTACCACCCTTATAGCTTATCTAAGACAACTCTACGCGGTAGAACTCCTTCTACTATATGCTCGGAAGGGCATAGGACGTTAGAGAGCGAATTACCGAGTTCTATAGGCTCTATAGGACAAATAGAACTATCCGTAATAATGCACTAACACTAAACGATTAGGAACAGATTAACCGGCTTTACGACGCTCTACACGTGTTCGAGCTTATAATAATAAGCACTTAAGGCAACGAGAAGTACCTATACGACTAGTACCCTACCCTCTAATTTACGCTCGATTATACTAGTAAGTACTCCGTAGAGTTCCGAGAAGAAGCGCTATATAATAACAGCTTTAGCTACCTATTAGGCTACTATAAGTATGCATAGCAAAAAGCTAAGAAGTACTAGAAGCTAGCGGATAATATACTAATCCTATATGTAGCCGTTGCCCTTAATCCAACTCTTAAATACGGCTAGTTTAAGGACCTCTAGGGTGTAGGAAATAAGGAACAGTAGGGCTATATCGAACAGGTGCGGAGGTTAGTTAAGGACATATAGATAAACGACTACCGGCCGGCTCTAGTATTACTAACTGCTATTACCGTAACGCCGGTAGATAGTAAGGACCTCCGTGACCATTTATTTAGTTTTAAGCGTCGTAAAACAATAGCAACTATACGGCTTAATGCACTCGATAGCTACCTATCTATCGACTACGTACACGATACTAAAGAGGCTCCACTAAACGTTCTAAATTAGTAGTTTAAGAGACGACTCTTAGAGCTAGAACTAGCTAAGTTTGCCTTTAACACGCTAGCAATACTACTTATGTTAGATAAGCTAGAACGCTCGTTTTTAGACGGCCGTAATATAATTACCTACCGCCGGAACCGCCTTTAAGAGCAGATAATTAAAGCATGCAGTTGTTTAAAGAGCTAGTATAGTTTACTATAGTAGGATGCTTTTAATAAGGACGACGATAAGGTAATTAAGCAGTAGGATATTACTAAGAAAGCTGCTATTGCACAGAAGGAGGTTATAGAGCTCTTAGAGCAAGAGGAGTCGCTTTTTGTACACTAATTGCCTATTTAGGAAGCTGGTAACCATTGGTTAAGTTGGTATTCACTTCAGAAGCAGTTGGTTAGTATGGTTAGAGCCCTTCACTAACCGGTAACCAAACCAACAAGCTCACTGCATGTCAGCTTACGCGAGTCAGAGAGCTAGTAATGTTGTCCTTCGCCCTGAATGCTCAAGCATGCCAGGGGATGGTGAGTCACTGATATCGAAAACATGCAGTAGAGCCATCTACCACATTACTCCTTGATGCGAGAAAGCATATGAAATTCAAAGTGCTTTTCTGCGAGCGAAATAAACAGACCGGCTCCAATCTGGCATTAACATGAATGTGAGCGGGTCGGTGAGCACATACTTCTCATCATCCTAATCCGTGAGCAACGTACCGCCGATTCTAACCCTGACCGTCAGCACTGGGATATGGATGCAGATTGCAGTGCTGCGCTTTAATCCTTTCTCTTTGAGTCTCACGACGAATCATCGCATTTCGATGAGACATGACTGAGTATGAACTACCTGGGATTCGCCATCCAACCGTAGGAGACTATGCAAGCATAGGTTCGCAGTATAGTACACATCTACGATTGGTTCATCAAACAGGCAGCGTTTGGATTGTCTCATGAACCGATGTCAAGGCACATGAACATGTGAACATCTCCACGGAATCAGACTAGTTCGGACATCCTGACACACACGCAACGAGATCAAGTATCGTGGATTCTTCCATGCAACAACTGCGCAGTGATCTGGCGTTTCTTTTCTACTTCCGAATTCGAGAAGAAAGCTTTCAATCTTGAATCATTCGGCAATGTGCCTGCTGATAACTGCTGAGATCGCACTCAAATTATCAAGGCTCTCAAGATATACTGCTCCGAAGGAAACGAGGATCCCGACATGCCGGTTCCGAACGGCGTCGAATGTTACTTGGAGACTGCGCTGAGCGTGGCATTGCTTTAACGGAATCCATCCATGATCTTGATATCCTCTGGAATCCTGTTGCTGGGGCATCCCGGCGTGAGACGATTCCTTGACCCAGAATGAATTCCATAGATCTTGATTACGAGAAATGCTGGCAAAGGACTGTTTGAACTTCCATGAAACCATTTGTAGAAAGTCCGCCGAGGATCATGATGTCTTCACAGGCCTGGCTCATCGATATGAAGAGGCAATGTCTTACTCCTGAGGATGAAAAAGATTACACCGCTCTCAACTATCGTTTTGCGGGTTCTGCACGTCACACTATGGTTCTCGGAGAATTCCAGCAAGATGGTGCTTTGAATCAACCTAGAATACTTGCTCAAATACCAATGAAAAGAGACGCCGTATTTTTCGTCGTGGCCGTGGGCGAGCGCTATCTCTGAGGCGAGCACTACGTGCATTAATGCAGCGTACCCAGAGTTCAAGATGTATCCCCAGAAACTCCTCTTTGTACGAGGAAAAGGTCACTGCAGCGTCTGGCACGAAGAATTGAAAATTGCGAGCGAAGTTGACTGGAACATCGATCCAAGACCACCGGTCGTCTCTGCAAGTTTCCTGGATCTGGAATTTTCCGACTCTTGCTTTGCCAAACTACGACTCTGTCGCTCCTTGTACGATGCTGAGAATCCCAAGTCGACCGAATACTTTCCCATTTCATGCCTCTCAATGTACACTCGTCCTCACCAATTCAATCATAGGTGGTTTGGTAAAGCTTTGTCTAGACGAATTCAAGACCAAGTGTGATGTGTGCCAAGGCTTTCACGTGCGTCATCTTGCCATAGCTACTTTAGCGTCTGTCGCATGTCCCATACCACTCACCACAGCGTCCTATAATCTTCGACGCATTTCTTTCTTCAAATCACATTCAATCTCGCTCTTGCTTAAAGCCGCTTCGCCTTTCTCTATACCTACTCCTAAACCGACAGCGTCCGATTTGCCTTCATTATGTACCGGTCCACGGCAAAAAGAGGTCTCAGGGCCAGATAGAAAGCCTAGATGATAAGCACAACACGTCTCTTCTAAGTTTTCCACCTCGCTATTTTTATTACTAACATGATCAGGTACCCGGCCCTCGAACGCAGGTCATCGATAATTGTTTCGAACACAGCGAAGTCTTATTGCTTCTTGGGGATGGCAAGCTAAAACTCGAGAGGACATTACAACGAAGAATAGAGTGCAATTTGATGGATGTATTTTGCCTTTGATTACTGTCTCTTTTCGAGATGCAGCAAAGGTCACAACTAGAGTTCGCAACTGGAAGTGACATCTCTTTCAGTAGAGATGAAATGAATAGTGGAGTACATATTGCACGATGAAGCCTATTCTGATTGCCGACTCATTCACATTCTGACGGGATATCTGGACGATTRGCTGCGCGGGATACGTGTCATCCCGAAAAAAATATGCTTTGAGGACAAGTACAATAGGATTATCCCACCTCGACTTTTTTGCCCTCTTACCAACCCTTCTTCCTCACCTTCACAACCACAGTCCTTGACACCACAACCACCCACGACATTCCAACACAACAACAAAACTGTCTCTCTCTCTATATCAAACAAGATCACCTTCCCCGACTCCACCAACATGACATCCGCAACGCGCGCCCTCGCGGTCCCGGAGCTCCTCGAGATGATCCTCCTCCACCTTCCCGTCCGCAGCCTGATCCGCGCCCAACGCGTGTCCTCGGAATGGCACAACGGCATAACCTTCTCCAAGACGCTCCGCGCGCGCGTCGCATTCCTCTCTCCATGCCCCGAATCAGGAACGCTCTCTTCAGGAGAAAGCATCACGACATTCAACCCAACGATAATTCCCCCGCCAGACCGAGCATCCCTCAACACCGCCGTGAAACTCGCGCGCAAAAACAACATCCCAACATCCGCCTTCCCTCTAGGCATTCCCTTCACCATCTCCTCGCTACTCAGCCGTCCCAAAGGACCCTGGATGGATAGACTAATCTCCCAACCTCCCCCTCGCGAATCCATCACAATCACAACTCTCTGGACGAGCGATATCCGATTTTCCGAAGGAGGAGAAAATTCTACCTCAAGATTCCAGACTCTAGGTCCCTCCGCAACATGCCAAATCACTCTGACAGGAAACCTGTTGACTTGGGGGGAAGTTGGGCGGAGTTTGCGGGAAAGGATTGCGGAAGTGCAGGAACAGAATCGTGCGCTTTCGATGGTGAGGGGTAGATTCACGCGTTGGGAGCCTGCGAGAGTGGCGTGGGTGCGGTTGGATGGAGCGGTTAGAGATACGGAGGAGAGGGTTGTGCGGGAGATGGGGGCGGACTTGGCGTGAGAGAGACGGGATGGGTTCTTACTTGATGACGATTCATGAGAGATTAGATTGGCGAGAACTGCAGGATTCGCCCTGTCTTTGGGCGATCCAGAGCTGGTTCCCCATCATGCTAGTAGGACTCGGCGCTTTCATTGTGCACTGTACGGATGGAAGGAGCTTTTCGCTTCGAGAGCATGTAGGACATGCTGCTCGAGAATGTGCTTGCTGGGCAGTCAGATAACAGGGTTGGAGGGAGTCATTAAATCGCGATACGTACAAGACAGACAGAACTACCGGAATCGAGATGATTGTGAAGACAAGGTGAGATGATTTCTGGTAGGAAATAGGAAGGTCTGTCCCTTTGGTCGTCTGTTCGTCATGTCCATTCTTCGTAAGCCCATCTAGGATTCCCTCATCGTCTTCCATCTCCCAACACGTACAACAAGCCTACAAGCCTCAACTCCGCAGCGCCCGTAATCGCTCGCCCAGCTTATCCTCCCGATCCTCCTCCACCGCCGCCGGGGCCTGGATTCCCTTGGCGGGCGTGGCACCTGCCATTTCCTGCGACAATTCCACTCCGGCCTCATCGGCCACCTGATTCATCAAGCGATCCACATCCTCCTGCGGCGTGCCCGTCGCCGTCGCCGAACTCGTGGCATTCTCGTAATATCCCGTCGCGACATCCAGATCCTCGAATTGACTCTCGAATTTGTTCATCACGGCCGAAATCTTCTCGAGATCCATGCTCTTCATCGCCTGATCCATGCCCTTGACCACGTTGCCCATGCTACCCGTCACCTGCCGCATCGTAACGGCCGTCTGCACGCGCGAGGCCACGGCATCGATGCGCGACGCGAGCGTCAGGAGTTGCAGATTCTCATTCTTCTTGCGGATCGCGTTGCCGGCGTAGATTTTGGCAATGTCGGTGTGGTTGGCGGAAATGGCCTTTTTCAGCTTGGCCTTTTCCACCTGCTCATCTTTGCTGGCTTTGGCGGCTTGTCGGTTGAGTTGCTTGGCTGTGAACTGGGTGGAAGGTCAGTGTGAGGGGGAGATGGATGATTGAATGGGTGGGACATGCATACTTTGAGGTTGAACAGCGCCTTCTCCAGTCCCGACATGATGCAAGTGGTGATGTGGTGTCCTTAATAGGCGGACGCTGCAGATCTTCGAGTTATCTGGGCTGCTGCGCGATTGTGGAGGTACTTTACGAAGTAAGGTAGGTGGGGTGTGCTATCTATCGGCAGACGTCATGCGGCCCGAGCACGTGGGATCGGCAGGCCGGCCGGGATGCCGAGATTCACCAGATTGTCGGGACTTCACCTTGCCTTCCTCCTATATGTATTCCATTGGAATCAGAGTTTTCCTCGAGCCGGTGAGAACTACCTTATCACGAGTCCTAGAAGGTAGATATATCACCAGACTTGGGCTCATGGTAACATGTCGGCAATGATGGTGGCACAAAACCGGGAAGCCGTGGCAACCGGGAGGATCCAGGCGTCAGCTTTCAACAAACAGCCGCCTATCCATCCATCTATTCATCATTGGGTTGAGGTTGACTCTTGAAACCCTCACATCACTTTCTCTCCCATCTTTCACGTTCCACTGTCCTCCAACTCAACAAAAATCATGGCCTCCCAAACTTCAACCCCACCCTCCAACCCCACAACAACATCAAAATTACCCAACATCCACCTCCTCTGCATGCAAGCCTCTTCCGCTCAAGCGTTCCATACCGCAGTAGCAACTCACTTCCCCACCCTTTCCTCTCACACCACAATCACCCACCACGAGTGCAGTCTCAAATTCCTCCCCAAACACATAACCTTCACGGCCATCGTCTCCCCAGCAAACTCCTACGCCCGTCTAGATGGCGCCTTCGACGACGCCCTCGCCCGAGCCTACATGCCCAATAAAGAAGACTACGGCTGGATCACCCGCAAAGCCCAAGCAGTCGTCTACCGCGAACACAGAGGTTTCGCTCCCCCGGGAACCTGTACCATCATCCGACTCGACCACTCCCAACCGGGCGACGCCCCTTCCAAAAATCCCTGGAAATCCTCTTACCTACTCCTCTGCCCAACGATGAGAGTTCCCCAAAACGTCACCTGGGATCGAGAGGTCGTCTACGAATGCATCTGGTCTTTACTGTGTGCTGTAGATCGACATAATCGTGCCGTGCGGGGAAATTCATCATCATCATCATCATCATCGGGGATAGAGACGGAGATTACAAGTCTTCTCATGACTCCTCTGGCTACGGGCGTCGGGGGTGTTTCAGAGAAGCGATGGGCGGAACAGTGTGTGTTGGCTATGAAGCATTGGGTTGAAGCGGTGGAGCATCCAGAAGTGTGGGCGCAAACGGAATGGCGGGATGTCCGGGAGAAGAGAGATGGGGAGATTAAAGCTACTTGGAGAGGGGAGGGGAGGTGATGTGTTGCGAGGGTTGTCCTTTGAGAATGTCGAATCGTCATGTGTTCATGGATCAAAGCCATCAGGGATCAGACCATCTTGATGCAAAGGCCACGCATTATCTTTTGGAGAGGATTAAATCAGTCTCCATGTTCACAGGCCACTATCCGCAGAAAAGCATTCATCGACAGCGTTGAGTCTAAAGTGTAGGCTCTATTCTCTATTATATCTTCCGGCATTGCTCTAACTCATTCAGTGCTATTCCATGCCTTTCTGTACTTCCCACCATCAAACATTATTCTATGCATACCATGACTCCATGCAGCGCAATCATGCAAACCAGCTAATCCCTGCCTAACTTGACACATCTCTTGCGCTCTCCATCTTCAACTCAAGAGTCAAGTCGACTTCTCCTGCACCTTGCCCTTCCCACCCTTCTTCTTGTCCGCATACTCATCCGCCTTCTTCTGAAAGATGGTCCCATCAAAGACACACCTCACGTCCTCCTTCTTCATCACTCCGTCCTCAGGCCAAAGCAAGAGGTAGACGGCGATCCACTCAACAGCAGTAACAGACCAACCCCAGAAATCCATGGCATTCCTCTGTCCCTTGTGAAATCTCGTCAAGTCTCGAATCGTCAGTCCTCCCTTGGATCCTCCATCGTACTTGGTGAAGATTTCCTCAAACATCTGCGGTCGGAAWCGTCCTTCGTTGTCGTAGGATAGAGAGTCGCTCCCATGTACACTCTTGTGGATTCTCTTCGTCCAGATCCGAAAGCGCATATCCGGTATCAAGGATGGACAAGTAGGGTAGGAGACGCCGAGAYGGATGATGGCGGCTAGGACGAGTGCCAGCAGGATGTTCCAACCCCACTTGCGGATCGAGACGAAGGTGTCCAGCGGACTGATGATTCCAATCTTGGATCGATCGAAATAATCGACATGTTGCTGCAAGACCGAATGGTGAACGTGAGATGCCGACCATTCTCCCACGGTACCATTCGGTTTCTCCTGACAAGGTGCCCGATTGAACCGCGCAGTGCCGGCGTCTTGGAGCGAGCACTCGGGATATTGGAGGTCGGACTTGTTTGGTGGGATGAAGAGAGGCCGCTCAATCTGTGTCTTTGGTCAGCAAGATTGAAGGTAAACACGGTCTGTGCAAGTGTACCGTGATCGGAACCTCCGCCGAAGCGGTTCGGTAAGATTTGTCGATGTCATCTAGCTTTACTGCATTGGTCTCATCGAACTTGTTGGGGAATTGCTTTTGTGTGTCGAGCTGTCCGGGGAACTGGTCTTTGAGGGCGGTTGGTAACTTGTCTTGTACGGCTGTTGGTGGCTTGTCTTGTGGGGCGGTTGATGCCTCCTCATCTTTCATGTCTTTTGATGACTTGTCTTGTGGGACTGTCGGTGACTTGTCTTCTGGGATGGTTGGTAACTGGTCTTTTGAGGTGATTGGTGCCTTGCTAGGACCCGGAGTTGGTGGAGCCATTGTTGTGTTGGTGGCGTTGTGGTGTTTAGAGAATCAACAGATTCATTCAGAAGGTTGTTGCAAACGAGCAAGTGGTCATTGGTTGGTCGGCTGGTGTTTGGAAGTTGCGGGTTGTGATGCACAGTTACGACAGGACTGCATCACGTTAGGAGGACTGGAAGGCTCAACGAGCACAAGGTTGTCGAAGAAGGAAAGCGTCGTTCACTTTCCCATCACGACTGACTGCCCTTGCACTGAGTTTTCCACAGGAATATTCTAGAGTAGTGGAAGTGGCATTCCCCAATCATATCGCTTCCCGTCGGTATAGAGAGCTCAATGACAAGATATTATACACAGCAGCGGTGTCTTCACAATTCGAATCCCCCATCCTCGATTTGTTCGTCCGTATATGCCGCCAGAGGATCCTTCTTATCGAATGCATACTTGGCCCTGTCTGATCGGGTCCATTCCAACAGGTTGTAACCATCGCCACCAATATTGTCCGACGACAAGGCAAGGATCGTAGGTCGAAATAGATAGTCTTCGCGATAGTCTCGTAGCTGCCCGAGAGTCAAACGTCAGCAGTGACATGAGATCATCAGAGCACACAGCAGCTTTACAACTCACAAGCAATGTCCAGTTCCACCTTTCCACCTTGGCCTTGCCAATTGGATATTCCTCGCCTGGTCCCACGACAWGATTATCCAAGCCAGAGACTCCCTGGGTCGATAGATCAATCTTCGCCTTCTTGGCATATCCCACAATTGCTTCGCGCCAATCTACTGGGTCCGATTCAGTTTGTTTCTCCCCGTCAGAGCCCAACGTGAAAGTAGGATACTCAATGACAGTGGACGTTACACTTTTCGACCACAGCAAGAATAGAGCCATAACATGCCCAAGATCCAGAAATCGTGAGTCTTTCTTGAGCTGCCCGATACGATCCAACTCGTTCAAAGCCGTCAAGATAACGCACCCGAACATCCCCGCGAGTCGCTCGCATCTTTGACTGTCATCAACCATTCTCCATGGCACACTGACGTCTCGATTGAGGAAGTTGGCAAGGGTTGTGACAATAGCCCACATTTGCTGGTAGTTGTATTGCTTGCCCTTTTGAGGTTTCATCTCTCTGTTGAAAGCTCTCATCAGCTGTGATTTCCCCAAGTCAGAATGATTTAGAAGAGAAGGAGGGCGGACGTACCATATTCTCCAAGACCTCGATCAGTCCGTACCCGAAATAGTCATTGTAAACATACATGCCGAACCGATCGGGGTCACGATTGTCGGCGTCCTTGTATGCGGCGTCCAGAAGTGTGAACGCTTCGTTCAACATGAACCATTTCCATTCAGGGTACTCTGTGATGGGCTTCTGATGAACAAGCTTGTTTTGTTCAGCGTCATCTTCTCCCCCCTCTTCCTCAGTATCAGTATCAGCCCACGGAGGTCTGCCAATGCACATGTACTCATATTTGCCGGTGAACGATGACTTTTCAAATTGTGTTTTGGCGCTTGTGCGTTGACGTTTGGGCTTTTGAGCCTCTGATGAATCCAGGACCTGCGGCGGCGGTTGCTGGTTTGGGTCAATTTCTACAAGAGGTCTTTTCGCTCGAGGCATGTTTGCTTGCACGAAACTCTGATGATGACGATGTGGATGAGATAGAAGAAGAGTAGGCTTGTGAGACGCGTTGTTGACGTGTCGAGGATTACGTAAATATCCTTGTGGCTTAATTGACAGGGGTTACCCCTGAGTTATTCAAGTTGGACAAAATGGAGCTCATTATTGTGCAGTCCACTCATTGCACTTTTAGCCATAGGCAGTATCCTGGCTAAGGCATTTCACAAGTAGCCTTCTTCGCCATTCCACGTCCAGAAAAGCTGAGGTCTCATGACACTGGATCACCGCAGGTTCCATCCACTCAACCATACGCAGCACCATACATCTCACCATCGTCCACCTTGTCTTACTTTTGACTCCTCCCTCTCCGCAACGGCGTACTCTACAGCCGTATAAAACACTTCAAGAACGAGACTGTGAGCTGACCGGCTGCAGACTTCATCAAACCTGTCGGCATGAGGACTTTCCGATGATCAAGGAGGATGCTTCTCATCAGATCCAATGCGAGCTACGTTCTTCAAAGTCGACATACGTATTCTTGAGATCCATCGAAGAGGTATTCAGTAATTCTCATTGGTTCCTCATCACTGAAGAACTCTCACATCGAGAGTGCTGAGCCTCACACGTCAACAAATAACTTCCTGGCAATACATACAGCTACATGGACTCCATATACTCCCCGATTGTCATCTCCTCATCTTCATCACTATCCTCTCTAGTTGAGCCAGACTCCTGAGATCCATCGTCTCTAAACAAACGGCTACCAATTCTGGTCCAGCCAGCCCCCGTTCTTTGGAATTCCTGTTGCGGAAGCTCTATGACCAGATTCCCGTGTATGTCAGTTGGCTTCTCGCACCTGAAAGCGCGGACTTGGGGAATCAATCTCGACTCGTATACTCGTCGCTCTTCAAAATACATAAAAGCCGCACGGATCCGCGCGAAGACTCTGAACAGGCGAACCCTGCTCAAAGGGGGTGGTGCTGGGCCGTGACCGTTAAGCACAAGGAGAATGATTTCGCGTACCAAAATTTTGATGGGATGGGTTTGGAAGTAATAGAGTGTTTCGTCGGGATGATAGGAGTGGTGTTGAAAGAATGAGGAGCTGAGGAGCAATTCGTGACGGTCGGACTCGGGGCAGATCCAGCGATTGTTTGCACCTCTTGTGAATTTCAGAGTCAACGCTATGAGTGCCTCGTGGGTTGCGCCTGTAAAATGGCCTGCTTCTGCTTCCTCCATTTCTTCTTCTTCTTCGTCTTCCACCTCCACATATTCATCGATTGAGAGTTTCAGTGGAATTGTTATCTCCAGCTCTTGAAAACCTGCGATTTCGATGCTGGGTACGATGTGGCGGGTAACTTCAACTTCATCGCGGCGGAAAAAGTTTATGGCGAGCTTTCGGCAATTCGCTCTCGCACGGGCTATAGCATCTGTTGTGGGCCCGAGAAGGCCCAGATTGCTGCGTTGAAGTGAGTACAAGCCCTTCCATTCAGGGGTATACACTTCATAGGCTACTTGATTTGGGAAGTTCAAGAAGACCTCAACGGTGGAACTCGAGATCTGTCGGGCTATTGCCATTTTCATTTCGTCGGGCAGACGATCCAACATGGACGGGGGATCCATCTCGATCAAATGGCCTCTAGGGGGCAGGATCTGTCAGTGTTGAAAGTCGCCAAAGAAGGATTCAGCGTTGAATTCAAGATGATATCTCAGCAGTTCACTGTTGGCTAAACAGCAATAATGTCTTGTACTTGTTCGCTTGTGAAGTCGTCCGGAAACGGAATACAAAAGCGTATGTGCCATTCGAATAGAATTTCGAATGGCACAAAGGGAGTCAACGTTCCCATCCGGGAGAAAAATCACTTTCATCAAAGAAACCAAACGTCTCCAACGCAGAGATGAAAATTCTCTTCAAAGGAACCTGAAGCCCTTGTCACCAAAAGTAGTGCCAGTATAACTAAGTTAGAGTGTACGACTTACAGGTTTTGAATTAAGGAGACTCTAGCAGGTGACATGTTGTGTTCATATAGTCATTTCTTGATTTGGCAGATAGTCAAGTGATTTAAAGGATGCAACTGGTCCTGTTAGATGATACAAAACTGGTTACCAATCGACCCAATACCCTGCTCATCGCGAGTGTCATCTCATACTAGCCTACCCTCTCATGAGAAGAACGTGACAGTTACTACAACGAGAGCTGCCACCCACTTGCGACTTTCATTGCACAATCAAACATTCCAAAGATGACATAGCAGCTTCCCTCGTCTAATATTTCGAGGACTAGCTCCAGAGGCTGCCGCTCCTGTTAAGGTCTTGAGTCTTCCCTACAACGTGGTACCATTTCAGTAGACATAAGTTGACAGTAACCGAAAATCAGTTACGGACGTTCCAACATTTCTGTTGGGCTATTTAAGAGGACTTAGATGCCGAATTGACGAAGCTTGATATAGACAATGATGGCGATGATGACGGATTAAGCTGGTCAAGGAAGCGACCAACTATTTTCCACCGTACCTCGATGGAGAACACAGACCGGAGGGATATCTTTATTTCGAAGATGAAGAAGATGAGACGACTGAGATTATGCGTAAGAGTTATAGGGCGAAGAGCAGTGAGTACAACATTTTCTGGCATCTCAGGGATAGGGCAAAGCTTCTAACAACGTCGGATGAAGGAACTATCGACGACAACATGGAGAAGCTAACGGTACCTGTTCCGGGCATTGCAGTAACCATGATATAGAACTTTTGATGCTCCGCAAGCCGTAACATAGACGTTGAATAACAAATTCAAGTAAAGTCACGAAGTAGCTCAAGTGTGGAATCGAAATTATGATCCACGAACGACAGGATAGTTTAGCGTATTCCCCTTATACAAAGCAGCTTCACGAGACGACAAAGAGGGTTCCACTTATGTTTCTCTCTATGTGCTGAGATGTCCCATGCAAGATCTAATCAATCGAATGAGTGGGAAGGACGAAGGGAACTGTACATAACCTATATTCAACCAGACCAGAAATGAAAAATAGTACAAGCAGTACCTCTCTTCTGCAAGGTAAGCCTCCACTAAAGTGATTCCTCGATCAGGTAAGAGACATCACATCTTGGAAAGGCAAGCTACTTATAACACCTTTTAATACATCTCACTACAGCCCACTGACATCCAAAACTTCAGCTCATCCACAAGCTCTTCGTCCTGAAAAACGAGTACCGTTAATAACAGACGACAGCATAGAACTCATATAATCGTCCTAAGTTACAGCCCTTCTCCCAACACTCCCTATCGCCACTTACTCAACCTCTGATACCGAGTCTCTCATCAATCGATCGCCTGACCGAACCCAGCCAGCACCACGTACGTCTATAGAATTCCGCTTGTGGATATTCTATAACAAGTTCCAGGTCTGCGTTCCATGGGGAAGCACATGTGAAATCTTCGCTGGTACGACTGTGATTTCCTTGGGGTGGCTCGAGGTTTCGAGACGTTAGGTATCGATCGAAAGTGGCTCTGATATTCCTTTCCATCGCAAACAGGACATGTCGAGTGAAAGGGTCTGGCGGCGAATTCAGTCCACGGAGTGCCGCTCGGCGTAAAGTGCTCTTCAATGGATGGTGTCTGAAGAATGCGAGAGATTCGTCTGGGTGGTACGCTGGATCGGTAAAAATCGTACTCAGGAGTAGTCTTTCGGTACAGTCGGATTCCGAGCAGACCCAATTGTTATCTTCCGCTTTCGTGAAATTCATGGTGTAGGATATGAGAACTTCATCGGGATCTTCTCCTTCAACATACTGTTCGTCCAGTGTGAAGTACAGCGGAACAGTGACTTCCAATTTCTTGAAGTCTCCCAGCTCCATGCTGGTCATTATACGCCCTGTGATGTCCTCACTTCTGAAGAGTTTGACTTTTAATAGATCGCATCGAGCTCTCGCTGCTGCTATAACGTCTGCTATGATGCCATGGTGGGCGTATGAGGTGACACTCAACGAATACAGTCCTTTCCACTCGGGGCTGTTGATCTCGAAAGCTGTCTGACGCTTTGGATCGAGATATCTGAAAGAAAGGGCATGAGGGTCAGCGATGTGTCAGATATGGTTCCGAAATTCTAGTATTCCAAAGATGCGTCGAGGTCTCGGGGTTGGCATTATCCTTCAACATCCGCGTGTATGCCTTTTATGCCTTTCGATTTACTTACACTTGGATGCTAGTAGGCTCGAATTGATTGCCTATGGCTAACTTCATCTCGTAAGGTAGACCCTGCAGGCTTGCTTTGGCGGCCATCCTGGACGAGTAGTCTTTGTGGTGTAGTTCAGGGTAGTATTCGTCTATTTCGGTGTGGAATTGGATGAGATGTTCCCCTCGAATGATGGCTTTCAAACGATTTCTTTGAAATGAACAGCCTGGATAAACTCTGTAGAGAGACGTTCGTTGTGATGTCCGGAAACAGATCCAATATCCCAATGGATTTACATTCCCATTGTCTGCAACATCTCAGTGATGGAGCCGATCCTCTTGAAATTCAACAAAGAAAACATGCGCTTTTGTAAGGAAGCAATGTTGCGACGACATGGTCTAGGAGTTGGATGAATAGCAGTGCATCGAAGTCGTACTGGAAGTTGGTTCCTGCCTATCGACCAGCCATCGTCAATGCAAATGTGATTGTACTTTAGCTCAGGAAAAAAATGCAATGGTCACTGCAGCTGCAGCTGCCACCCACCACTGTCCATTAGCGAAGGTAACAGCGCTACTTTCGTCGGAAGGAGTAGGAGAAGCTGGCCCGCTTTGTTCGTCGTCTCCTTCCTCGGTCTCAGAAGGAGTCGGAGACGCCGGCTCGATTTGTTCATCATTTCCATCCTCGGTCTCAGAACCAGGCACAGTGAAGTCGTCAACAGGCATTCCATCGTCACGGTAGACGATATAAATCTCTCCTGTGGCATCGGATGCCATGAAAAGCTGTTCTCCCCCCGCACTCCACTCCAACCCCACGGGTCGGAAACACTCATCAGGACATTTGCTCTCGTCTTCGTTGGCCATGATCTCCAAATACCCATCGCGACTGTTGGGGTCCGCCGTAGGCATTCCTGTCGCTGGGTTGAAAGGAATGGCAGCGAGCTTGTAGCCGGCAGGGTTTTCACGGTTCCAGCTGCCACGGAAAGAGATGTACATGACTGTGCCTGCGGTGTTGAACTCTTGATCCATAGGAGCCATATGGGCTGTGAAGCTGAGGACAGGACTGACAGCATTCTCACGACACCAGGCATCGTCGACAGATTCGTTGAAGTTTGCGGCGAATTGTTGTCCGGTCTGGAGATCATCGTAATCGGGCACAGCTTCGGCGTCCCAGGCTGAGAAGCAGTCAGGATATCCGTAATATGCACCGAAGTTGGGTGAATCAGTGCCATTGAGGTAACCATGAAAGTTCTACAAACAGTCAGTCGAAGAGCAAAGCCTCGCAATTGGGAGTATTTACCAGCTCTTCTGCAGGGTTGTCTTCCACAATCTCCACGCCATCACGGAACAAATTATCGACACTGTTCTCATTACTGAAAATACCGCCGGTGATTGGATTCTGCGCAAGGCCAATAGAATTCCGCAGTCCATAGCCCACAAGCAACCCATCCGTGGTATAATTCCACACCCGGCTTGTGTCGGAGATGTTAAACGCTTTGATGCTGCTATATCCTGATGTGGGGTCCCTTGCTTGAGGGTCAACATTACCGTTAGATCCCCAGGACACCAGCAAGAAATCGGGATCATTGGGAGGAAGGAGAAGGGTCCTCGTTGCGTGGGTTCCACTTCCACCAAGCTCAATCACACGTTTCTCATATCCAATTGCGCCTGATGATGCTTCATAAGGCCACGCATACACTGCGTCTTGACTTGACGCATAAAGAGTGCTGCCGTCTGGTGAAAGTTCAATACCGTGGTTCAGCTTTGCGAATGTCAGTCTATCGTCATCAGGAAAATCCAAGTGCTTGCCCAACATACCGACCCATTTTTCCAAACCTGAAAGCGATTGGACTCGACCAAGCAGGGGGCTTGGCCAGTAAAGCTCACCCTGTAAACACCACCGTTTTCCTCGTCTTGGTCCACAACAAGCATATTACCTTCATTGTCCAGCTTCAGTGATCGAGGTTTGGTAAAGCCATTCGCGATAATGTGTGCGGACCAGCCATTTGCAAGTGATGGGGCGGGATATCCTGATGCGGAGATGGTTGCTGTGCACTGCTGGGCAGCTGTGAAGGTGGCATAGAGGCCGATCGTCGTCAAGGATGCCGCTGTGTACTTCATGGCAGCCAATGTATAAGCTTCTCACAATCACCCACACATGCAGCATGGCGATGGGGGTCAGCTATGCTTATAGCTCCATCGTGCTACTCGGGGCCAAGCATTCTCGCGTGCGCCCGCTGATCACATGCAGTCCCGTAGAGCCACCCAAAACGACTTGTATCGGAAGACCGCGGACCAAAAGTCAAAAGAGACCGCAGGTGTGTAGATGATGATGTGATGCTTTTTCGTGCACCCTATGGTGCGGCTTGACCAGCCGTGAGGGGTAGTATGCAGCCTCAATCTTGGCGCCGAGAGTCGATGACGGAGAGGCGGGAGGATGGAACATGAGCCAGTGATGCTGCATCAGGATCGTTTGCTGTGCCTGACCAAATGACACGCTGTGGACGTGACTTGAAGAATCCCGCCGCAAGAATATGTTTCTTCAATACTGAGCACGCTCGCAAGGCAATGGTTGGCTGTCAACTGATATCAGCAAGACCATTCGCCACGCTTGCGGAGAGAGAGGAGTGTGGCAACAGCCGACGGAAACAGCGGATGGAGGCCAGTGTTGCCGTCAGGACTATGATCTATGCTTTATAGATCGCAAGGCACGTGCAAAGAATGCAAGCCATTGGCGAGAACAAGACGACGGGGCAGGCAAGGCGTTGAAAACGAAACCTTTGAATCCTCCAACGATTCAATCCTCATCTTCCTTAACTCCCTCATAGGCGCAAATCGGATGTTATAATCGGTGGCCTACGCGGTATGCGAGCTCTTGAATATCACAACCCCGGCGGTATTCGTACTGCAAGCGCTTTGGAACGCCATCTGGATCCACGTATGATCCTTCATGGAGATCTGTGGTGGGTTGAGAGGAGAATGGCATTGTTGAGAAGCACACTTTCTGCTTGAAGCGCATACTCACAGAAGATCATTACCGTGTAAGATAGGTAGTAGTCTTGTGAAGCCAGCTGGTCCGGGGAATCGAGCAATACCTTTCGTAGGAAGAAGACCTTCGACAAGGCCTCGATTCGCTTGATACAGTGGACATGTCCACGAGGGTCTTCAAGTATCCATTCTTGAGCATGTACAGGTTTGTACATGTAAGGGGGGATTTTCTCACCAAGATAGTCGTTGAAGTAAGCGGCGTCTTGAACCGGATTTGCGTCCAACACGTGCAGGAGTAGTATGGAATAAGGTAGTCCAATGACAATGTGCTGATACCAGCGGGCATCAATGACTGCGACCTTGGTCGATCTCTACGCATCAAGCGTCGTCCTGACTACGCCATGGCTGGGCTTCTGCCTGGCGGATGGTTCTGGCGGCCGTGTCGGGTTCAGGCCGGACGCGATGCTTGGAGCTTCTAGTTGAACTTCTCGGCCTCGCACCGGCATCCTCCGTAGAACTAACTCCCTCAGATCATGCTTGATACGATAATGTATGATGGGGCGGTGTTGATGGAGCGGTGTTGATGGAGAAAGGAGAAGTGGGGGTACTCCGTCTTTGAGGCGGCCTATCTCACGCGTCGCGCAGTTTTCGTGATACGCGAATACGGAGTATCCGAACGGCAGGGCCGGGCCGGGCCGTCTCCTCGCCTTCGCCTTCGCCTTCGCCTTTCCTCTTCTTTTCCTTCTCCAGACGTCCATTCTTTCCACCTCCATATAACTATCGGATACCATGTTCACTCATGCACCAAAGTACTTGCCATTCCTTTCTCACYGCCACTTGCGGTCGAGTGATATGTCATTACCGTCAAATCGGGGCTCCGTTCCGATCAATCTGTTATTCGCAGCCAAGGTAGGATCAAGGTGCTCACCAGCAGCACGATGATAGTACAAGGTAAGCTTGTCGCTCCCTTCTCTTCATTTCATCCTTCAGTTCATGTCCTACATCTACTGTCCAATCCAAAGCGTGATGATGTACCCCCATCATCGGAAGTAGGTAGGTTGATAAAGATGAAGAGGGCTGTGCAATCCTTCGACAGCGCGGATGCCACTTAGCACCGCCACCTCTCTCCGTCTTTAATTAGTCCTCTTGTCTTACAACTCAAGAGGACATTCGGTGGTACGCTTCTATTACACTCATCATCACGCACTGCAAATCCAAGGCCAGCAAGTCGAAACGTATTTCAACACAAACCACCTGCTAGCATCGACCAGAGTGTGACTTGGCTACTCCGATTGCTATTTCCAGCTTGATTCCCGCGAGATGCAATCTCAGGGTGAATCTCTCAACGAATCCTCCCATTCATCCGCCATCCGCTTCTTCCGCAACGCCGACCTCTGCACGCACTTTTGCGAAATCTTGATCAAGCAAAAAGCCATTACTCCCCCCTCGAAACTATGCTCGGCCAGTAGAGGCACCGCTACTCTCCTCGCCTTTCGTGGCGTGACCCGTCAAGCCTGGAGGGCCGTGATGCTGGAGCATCCCACACGCTTGGCGCTCAACCTAGCTCCTCGAGACGAGACAGTAGAAGGCATTGTCTGCCATCGTGAGGAGCCTTTCGACCGTACAGTAACGCACCACCGACTTCCGACCTGGGCCTACCAGCGTCATGTCTTCATCTCTCATGACGAAGCTGATGTCGCGGCTCTCCATGCACGCGACAGAGATGATCCTTCGTATCGTACCGCTTCAAGGCCGGGCATCGTAGCTAGAGTCGCTACTCATCATCCTGCGGTGTCTCACTGGCTTCATGTATCCATGGCTTCCATGGAATTATGGATCACCTGGGAGAAATTTGAAATCTGCTCGAAGGTGCCTCTGGCGAGGGAGATGTTCCTCACACAACCACCACAGAAATCCATGTACTTTTGGATCAGGTATGACTATTGGCCCGGCCGGCCCAGCCGAGCGAATTTGATTGAGATTGAAAATGCCAACGGCCTTCGCTTCGAGGATCTTGCTGCGTATATCGAAAGTCGACCTGAGTTGTGGAAGAAACCAATACCGGGTGGTCTAGAGCAGTATAAGCGATGGCTTCGGGATAGCGAGTTTGTCTACCCGGTGAGGATTACGTGGGAGTATCCTCGAGCTATTGAAAGGGGTCATTAWTGGGATGAGGATGCGAGATTGAATACCGAGAGCCTTGCGAGTGGCGATGCCAAGGTTTGACTGAACGGGCTCGTGGGAAAGAGGGGCTAAACTCTGGCGGCTGGTATCGGGATTAACTGGCGGAGGCGAGGAAGAAGGGTGGTTGGATGGAGCGAAGAAAGCGAGGGACGAAGAAACTATGCCAATGCACTGACAAGTAGCTGTGAGACACTTGCGGAATCGCCGTGTCTGCTTTGTAGCTCTCGACCTAGTTCAGGGAAAGCACTGTGTCGATTGCTTATTCCAACCATAGGAAGAAGGTACCAAGAACTAGATCGAAAAACACGAGCAAGCCTCTTGTCTGCTGCCGCCGCCGCATCCATCAAACCAGACTCGCCAACAGATATCACAATCAGGTGGCTTACAGAATGAAATTGCCAGAGATAGCTATAGATTTCAACATTTTGCATACCTAGTTATAGATAGGGCGCAAAACTTCCCATAAAAAACATCACAGAGCGCCTCTACTAACCACACATACCCGAAGGAGGACCACAATGAGCACCTTGCTCCATCAACCACTCATCGAGCAGATCCCGAGCAGGTCCGAATCGATTCCCATCACACCAACTTCCCTTCTTCTCAATAAGCTCATGCAATGCATTCGCAATAGGGTAAATAGCCCTCTCCGCACCCCCTTTACAGAGCGATTCCCCAGCAGAAGTATCCATCCAAGCCTGAAGAGCGGCGCGAGCTTCGCTGAATTTCCCACCGTCACACCAATCCTTGTTATCGGCGATGAATTCCAATTGCCCGATGATGGGTTCAATGAACGTCTTCTTCGCGGCGAATTTGTTCATCTTTTGCGGTGGCTTTGGGGAAGCTCCGGTCTTCTCGTCGAGCCAGGATTGGAGCAAGGCACGAGCTGGACGGAAATGTTTTCCATCGCACCAGTCTCCTTTGTTGGCGATGACGGCGTCTAGCTGGGCGACGAGCGGTTCGAGGATTCTTTGAGCGCCGCCTTTACACAGGCCATCTCCTTCCTTCTTCTTCTTCTTCTTCTTCTCCGGGGAATCGGGGGTCTTCTTGGTGATCTTGGGTTGTTTCTTGAGAACCTTGGGTGTCTTGACTACCTTGGACGTACTATCCGGGACCGATTTCCCGGCGGTCTTCTTTGGGGCCATGATTGTTGTTGTTGCTGTAAATGATGTTTTTCTTGAAAAGGATGGTGGGAAGAATGTCTTCGATCGAATTCATGGAGTGGAATGTATACCTGTGCAACTTTCTTTGTGTACAATCTCCGGATTGCGGAAAAGTCGCAGCTGGCGGTGTTCATTGTGATTATTCTTTCATGTGCCCTGCTTTCATAGTCATGGCTTTGGTAGATGGAAGGGATCGAAACTCGGACTGTGCTTCTTTGTGCTTCCTAGGGTCGATTAACGGATTGTGTGAATCTCCCGAACCTCCTGAGTGCGTGAGGACTTGCGGCCTAGATTCGTTGGGTCGCCATGCCGAGCTCGCAATTTTTCACCATGCCAACGTGATACTGTAGAAATAACGTGGAGTAGACCATGGCAAGTAGGAGAATCACTAGATGTAAACGACAGTTGGATTAATCACCCCGAAGTATTGGTGCAGCACCAGCGAAGAAGTGTACCTGTCCATGAAATTGAATCGACAAAGAAAATCCCAAGCGCCGTTCTTCCGACGTTATAATCGCGCGATAGATAGTTCAAAGAGCGCAGTGCAGAGATGTTCTAGCTGGCCAGCATAGTCTTAAGCACGTTGAAGCTCAGGTGTCTGAGCGGTTGGGGTTCGGATGTAGGAGAAGTGATGGCAGAATCGCCAGTTGGCGAGTTCGATTAAGATCTTCCATGTCGGGATACCTGTGTGGCCACATGGAACCYATCCATGTTGTGCGTTGAAGTGAGGTAAGCCATCCATCTCTGTGTAGCTGTTTTCAATGATGTCCTTGCGCTGCAAACGCCAGCTTTTGAGATGGGCAGGAATCGAGGAAGAAAACAGAAACAAGAGCCCGAGAACAACAACATATGGTTGATGAGCATCGAAAGGATAAACAATCATGCGTATCAACAGTACCTGGTGACGAAGCACCCATCGTCCAAGCGGGGGGGGTGGGGGTGGGGGTGGTTCTTGATCGACATGGCAAGCTTCACGCTACATCTACGGTGGTCTTTTAGCGACTTCCCTGCAACAACCCATAAATAGCTTTTCAGAATGCACTACCACTCTTAGCTTTACCTCGGCGCCGGAGTTAGAGTATTACAGCGTTTCCTACGCTATTGTATCGTATTATATATAAGGTTTCGATATAGCAAGAGTGCTAGGCTGTATAATAGTATCGTAAAGATTTGTTCTAGTTACCGTTAGTATATCGACACTCTTATAATTTCATCTAAAGGCGTTGCCTTATACCTATTGCTTATCTCTTTTCTGTTTACCTATATAAAGCGTAGAGAGAAGAAGGCGCAAGCTAAGGTATAAAGATGTCGTAAACTAGTGTATGTTATATAGTAGTATGTTCCTCTAAGAGCTACAGCTTAATCTACACGATAAAAGGCAAAGGTGCGATACAAGTATATCGTAAATCGCAAACGCTAGTACAATTCGAAAGCTATRTTGCATACTAACTAAGAGGGAAGTCCGTTAAAGGACCGGATAAAAGTGTTAYATAAACTCTAGCTAATAATTCTAGATAGTAACGCTATCTATAGTTAACGTATACCCTACTCTTAACGGCGCTTTAATCGATTGCGCGTACGATCCGCTAGTAGCGCACTACTACGCTCGGAAGTAAGGGAAATCTAAGAACAGCTACGCTTATAACTAACCCCTTAGGGAGGGGGGGGG